ATTTAACTGCAAAAGTAATAAAAAAAAGTCAAGTCAAACTCACTTACCCAGCTCACAGAAATAGAAGTGGTACATTTATCCAAGTCACGGTTAACGTAGAGTTTTAGGGTTTGTTTATTGAAGCTACTCCACAATAAGCAAGCTTGTCTCTTCTTGAGACGACTGGTAAATTTGTTTCTATATCCGCACAGTGTTCGGGCAGGATAGAGGTAAGAGGGCAAATTCAGGGAAGAGGGGGTGTAAGCAGTAAGTTGACAGGAAGATTGTGGGGGCCACACTGACTCTGACATGGTAGAGATGACAGAGTCAGCTGGACGGTGTATGGCTCTTGGTTACTTGTAAACAAACACAATGTCATGAACTAAAAGGATTGTACCCTTCACTGCCAACAGGGCCCCAGAGCAATTACACAGCACTTTTCTCTGAGCTGAAACCTCTATCTCTATTTTAAAAGTGCATTCAGTCACTGAAAAGTCATTCACTGAAAATGGTTTCAAACATAAAGAAGAGACTGGAAGACTGCAGCTCTAACAGTAGCCTGATAGCCCCTCAATAACATTATCCCAACCTTAATTACTTACTCACAGGACAATTTATATCAAAGTTGATATTTAGCAGTACCATACAGGTGTTTTGTAACATCTAGTTGTTATGAGATTAGTTGTTAGCCCAATGCTCAACTCCCAATCTGGAAGACCAGGATATACAAACAAACACTACAGACAGTATAACTAAATTCACCTTCTGCACGTCTTTGGACTGTGGGGGAACTGGAGCACCCGGAGGAAACCCACGCAAACACAGGGAGAACACCAACTCCACGCAGAAATGCCCACTTGAACCAGTGACCTACTTGCTGGGAGGCGACAGCGCTACCCACAGCGCCACCGTGTCACCCAAACCTTCATAAGTAACCTTTATATTTTTGTACTGAAATATCATTGTCGACTTACAGCCATCGGCAATCTCCAATAGTTAAAATTTCTAATAATTCTTTAATGGCAACCTTATATTAGCCTGTATACACAACCAATGCGCCTCAAAAGTCCAACTTAGGGCTGTGTGAAAAAACAGGCTACATTTCCCAAATTTAATAGGTTACTATACTTTGAACAACCGATTTGTTAAATACATGTAATCAAATGCAGTGTCCTGTTGTTGACGCAAAAACAAAACAAAACATTATTTTTAGTATCCCATCCAATCACGCAATGCTTAGTTCGTTCCTATACAAAACAAAGTCTTCAAACACTACCAGCTTGTAGCTACTATGTATTTTAAACAATTCCATTTTGGCACTCTTCTAGCATGAGAGGAACATCTCGATTCAGGTGAAAGCGCGGACAGAACATCACGTTATCCAACCATTTCTTCGACTTCTCTGCCAGATGCCACTGTGCCCGCTCTCATTACTGCATGACATGAACTTTGATTAAAATCTGAAGGAGTGTTAAAGTAAATAAGACAACTATCCAAAGTGTATGGTCTTGTGTAATCAGTCGCTGCATTTCAGCTTACCTTTAAATTAGCTCATCACATTTACCTCAGTTGAAACATAGCCAACATACTTAATAACGTTACCTCGAAAAATTAACTCTAAAAAGAAACATTTTCCTAAATATATGCATTACATTATATCCATTATTACTGCCAATGTTAAAATGTGTCAAAATGTTGCTTTTTTTAAACCACAAATTCGCCATGATTTTGCACACTAGCCAACAAGAATATTTGTAGTACACCTACAGTTAAACAAATGATTATTTGATAATCATCAAAAAACATTTACTATAATAAATACATGTATTTTAAAGCACTTAACTGATTTAAATATTGTCAGTTAGAGTAAAAATATAGAATTATGTTATTAAAGGGATAGTTTATCAAAAATGAACATTTACTCACTGTTAACTTCCTATCCAGTGGTACAGAAATAAAACTTACCAATCCAGTATTTTCAGCTCTTTTCGGCATCCTTCAAAATCCACGGTTCGGCAGCCGTTGTTGCTAAACTGCTTATATGCTGTTTGCTTACACTTTATATCAACTACACAACAGCTCCCTATACAGTGCATAATGCAAATATCCATTATTCATGAATTAGTCATCATCTGCTACCTGTTGACCTCATCAGTTTATGAAAACAACACACAGCACACACCCCATTTCACTTAATCGCTAATAATTTATTTGTACCTCTTGCTACATAATAATGCCAAACCCAGACTTTTAAATGCATCAAGCAAAAAATCATTAATTACAGAAGCATAATTGCTGACAGTCACAAAACACATCCCTGATGTAATTATAACATATTAAAGATTATTATCCGTGTATTAAAATAAACTGACAAACCCAACAATCCCATTAAAATAAGTATAAAATGACTGAAGCACAAAACCACTTTAACTGCATAGACAAGATATTTTGCTTAGCAAGATATTGATAATACATTAAAAAATTATAATACATATTTAAAAAAAATAGATTCTTTTATTTAAAATGCATTAATATCACATGACCAGGTTTATATACTTCTTACATGCTCATTTAGAAGACATAAGAGGTGTAATTTTATTAATGGTCACAATTGTGGCCAGTAGTACAGCACATAGTTTCAGCTTAAAACAATTAAAAACCAATCTGATTCTGACTATGCGGTTTCTTACTGGTCATTATTGTGAGCAAGTCATTCATTCATTTTCCTTCCAACTTATCCAGCATATGTTTTTACATAGCAGATGCCCTTCCAGCTGCAACCCAGTACTGAGAAACATCCTTACACACTCATTCACGCGTGTACACTACGACCAATTTAGTTAATTAAATTCAACTGTAGTACATGTCTTTGGACTGTGGGGGACACCGGAGCACCCGGAGGAAACCCACGCGAACACGGGAGAACATGTAAACTCCACACAGAAATGCCATCTGACCCAGCCAGGGACTTGAATCAGTTACCTTCTTGCTGTGAGGCGACAGTGCTAACCACAGCGTCACCCTTGTGAGCAAGTATACATAATATCCACAAGCAACATAACATTAAAGAAGGCATGAAGTTTGAGGCCTAAGTAGTAAAATGCATGTACTCAAATTGCAAGTATTAATTTGGTTTTAAACAGGTTACGTATGCAGAACTTATTGTCTATGAAAAATCTAAACTGGATTACTATTCCAGTTATGAATAATTAAGCGGTCATTTAATTAGATACTGAATACTCATGACTCTTTCTATAAATTGCGGACACATTTTAGCCATTCTCATTCATTTCCTTAAACTGGAATGACAAAGTTGGAGTCAGAATTATTAGCCCCCTGTTCATTTTTTTCCTCAATTTCTGTTTAACGGTGAGAGAAGATTTTTTTTCAAGACATTTCTAAACATAATAGTTTTAATAACTTATTTCTAATAACTGATTTATTTTATCTTTACCGTGATGACAGTACAATACTTTAGTAGATATCTTTTGAGACATTTCTATACAGCTTAAAGTGACATTTAAAGGCTTAACTAGGTTAATTAGGTTAACTAGGTGGGTTAGGGTAATAAGGCAAGTCATTGTATAGCGATGGTTTGTTCTGTAGACTATCGAAAAAAATATAGCTTAAAGAGGCTAATAATTTTGACCATAAAGTGGTCTTATTTTAGCCGAAATAAAACTTAAACAAAAAATAAGACTTTCTCCAGAAGAAATAGTATTATCAGACATACTGTGAAAATCTATTTGCTCTGTTAAACATCATTTGGGAAATATTCAAAAAAGGAACAAAAAATTCAAAGGGGGGCTAATAATTCTGACTTCAACTGTACGTCAAATGTGTAATTTCCAGTCATCTGAATCTGTTAACAGAGGTGACAATAACAGGGTTGACATTTTACACTATTTTGTGTTTTTGTTCAAGAAGCTAACCTCAAATCAGATACCACATAGCGTGTCTAAAAGAAAAGTTTTTGCATTTTTATATTAAAGATGTCATAATGTGAATGAGAATTTCACATAAATCTCACAATAACAAACAATTAATCCACTGCTTGGTGCATGCTAAACATTTTGCACAAATAAATAAGAGAAGAATAAATGACAATCCTCAATGCCTTTTCCCGACAGAGGAATTGACATCACTTAAAGCAAGTCACATGCTTTTTATCAGTGCTTTACAGATGATAGAAATCTATCATATGCCTTTTTGTAACCACTGTAACAGAGTTGACCAGAACATATAGGGAGAGACACAAATTTTATTTACTTAAATTATAAATAATACAAAAAGTAGATGTTTCATGCAACTGTTTAACTTAGTAAACACAAAAAAAGATGAAAATTAGACATTAATTTCATGAAAACTGAAAGTCATGAGACAGTCAGTTGGTATAGGGAGTTAATATTTAATCCACATTTTCGAAACAACATGTCCTTAAATACTCATACAAGCATTATTTTTAGAGATAACTTGATAGAATTTAAGTTATTAACGCAAAACCATTTCATTAAAGTTTGTTTGTAAAAAATAATAGAAGGTTTCTTTTGGAGATGCAAAATGTACCCGCAGTTTCTAAAATCACCATAAATTCCCTATTGTCTTGACAGTAGATGAAATAATTTATGAACATTTTCTGCACACTATACTCCATTTGCGTGTTCCCGTAAAACACCAAGTGTCCACCATTTAACCCTATTTGTCATTGCTTTCCTTGCATCCTCTCCCTGCACAGATACAGTACACTGTCAGGCATCTCTTTGCACCTCCCCCTCTTTTTTCCCTTCCATTCCCGCTTCCTTTCACACTCTTCATCTCCCAAGCTCCGACTACTACAGGCTAGTACGAGAAGAGACAGCCAAAAATGCAGGCTTTTTCTTTCATATCCCCCTGACGTCAGCCCAGTCCGAAACAAATACTCCCCCTCATCCCCTTCTGACAACCACCGCACAGCCGGCAATGTCTTCACACTCGTTCAGTTTCTGCCATTGAGCCTGCAGTTGGAAAGAGGCTGCGTTTACCTGGCTGCGTGCGACTCCGATGCAGCTTCCCATCCTGTATTCCATGTCCTCCTGAGGAGAGGTGACAGAAGCACTACAGGGCTTGCAAAAATAATCTCTCCAGGATTGCATCCCCACTACAAAGATCTGGCATCGCTGAGCAATGCAAGCAGGGTGTGAGCAAGTGAGTGCAAACGTACGAGAATCCCCTTCATGTGTGTGAGAGTGAGAGTGAGTGTGTGTGAGAGAGAATAAGCCTAGTCTACTGCAATGCCCAGGGTAGAACTATGACATACATGCTCATTCTCAGTTATATAACAAAGCAATTATAAAAATAGCTCAGATGAAGATACAAAAATGTCTTGATATTTTTTTCTCTCTCTGTTCCTTTGTCAGGATTTGCAGATATGCTAAGAGATGCTGCTCTGCGAGAGGGTAAAAAAAGCCCCTCTGTTTTGGACAGCGGTAGAGTCACACAGGCAGAGAGAGAGAGAGGAGAGGGAGGATGGAAAATACAGAATAGGAAAAATGAAAGAAAACATCATCTGCCAGTTTAGTAGAGCAACAGCCGCAGGTATGATGACATGGTAATGAGCATCAACGAAAAATCGCCATGAGGAGAAATGATGGAGCCACTCAAGTGAAATGGGACAGCAGAAAATAAAAAGGAATATAGGACAGGCATGATGACACAGATTAAGCCTTAGAAGGAAGTATGAAATCAAAATTAGCCCATTATTTTTTTTTATATGTCACTGTTCAACTAGTTGATAACATGGTGAATTACTACAATATTGTAGCTGGTCACAACAGTCAATTTATGTCATCTTAAAAATGAGGAAACAAACACAAGAAAAAAAAGAATAATATTTGTGGTGCTGTCTCACACTAATGATTGCTTTTGATCTTGAAATTTAAGGGTTAGTTTATATAAAAATTAGAATTCTGTTATTAATTACTTGCTCTCGTCTAGAGCTGCTTGATTCTGGCTAAAATGAGAATCGCAATTTTTTGGCTAAAATAAATATCACTATTTTCTCCCGATTCTGTAGATGTAAAATAAAGGTTAATATGAGTTGGCTATTATTATTGTTATTCTCAAACATGTGGTAAAACAGCAATAGGCTTTGTGTAGTTGGCTAAAATGCTAAATTTTGTATGGACTTGGAATGGTGGACTTAAACAGACTTTAGATTTGTCCTGGTCATTAATGCTTATGATAATTCTGATGTTGAATTATTGTTTGAGACATATGCTTACAATCTGTCATTTACTGCTTAAAATCTGTCACTGACGTGATTTTCGTGAATACAGATGACTGGGCGGGTTTTTTTTTGCATTTCGACAGGTTTTGGATACTTTTTGGGCTAGAATCAGTCAGCTACATCTGGCAACACTGTGTTCGCTTTCAGTTTCATTTTCACTGCTAAAAGCGGTTCACTTCCGGCGCGGCTCCCAAACGATCACTCTGTGCCACAAACTGAATGTTATTTACAGCTTTATTACCTGTTATTCACGGTTTATGCAGGTTCTGTTCACTAAAGTAAACTTCATTCAGAGGTGCGCGCACGCCCACCCTTCCTGTGGTAACAGCTGACAGCTCACGTCTAGTGGGATTTTGCAGTCGTAAATACATTACATGAGGACAGAAATGACATTTTTTAGGTGAATTGTATCTTATAAATACAGCATGTGACTCATTAAACACCATTTGGAGGTGTCCACGTAGCTGAACAATGCATGTAGAACAATGTGAAGACTTGTGCGGCCACCATTGCATCTCTCCTGAACTTGATAATATGTTTGACAGAATAGAAGAAATGCTGGATTAAGATCGTCTAGGGCAGGGGTGTCAAACTCAATTCCTGGAGGACCGAAGCCCTGCACAGTTTAGTTCCAACCCTGCTCCAACACACTTACCTGAAGGTTTCAAACAAGCCTGAAGGACTCAATTAGTTTGATCAGGTGTGTTTAATTAGGGTTGGAACTAAACTGTGCAGAACTGCGGCCCTTTTGGAACTGAGTTTGACACCTGTGGTCTAGGGGGTCGAATCGAAATCGCTTTTACGGTTAATTGTGCAGCTCTACTCTCGTGTTGCTCCAATTCAGAGACCTTCGTTCAACTTTGGAACACAAATTAATATATTTCAAACGAAATCGAACAACTCTCTGACCCTTCATAGACAAACAAAGGTTCAAACTCCAGAAAAGGCAAAAACATTAGCCACTTTAACACATACAGACCTTTCTGGAAAATTACCAGCAATTAACTAGTAAATTAGTTCCAGCAATTTTCCAGTAAGAGAAGTTGTAACATTACCGGTAATTTGCTGGAATGCTGCTCTGTGTGAACGCAGAAGGAAGATTGCCGGAAAGAGCGCGTTCATGTCTAGAACACGCTGACGTGACACGTCTACTTTAGCCAATCAGAACACTCAAACGCATTCACGTCTGTGCGGTTTATGAAAATAAAAGCCTTTGAATATTTTTCCAGACTCATCTAGCTGCTAGATGTTAGTCAGATAACATTTCTGTTCTTTCTTAATGGCAACTGTGTAAAAAAGTTATCGATAAAATGCTTATGATAAGCTGCTGTTTGTTTACCTTCAAGCTCTGACGCGTGTGCACGTAAAGCAGATGGTGAGCGCCAGCACACACACATATTACGTACATCTCGACATGCAGAAGTGTTCCTCCATATGTTTTCATCGAAGTTGTTCACAATACTTATCCATACATCCACAGAGTTTGTAATGTAGTCAATTGTTAACAAATACAAGTGCAGCCGTTTAGAGCTCATTTCTGGTTAATGATGTCAGAATATACTGGTATTTGGAATGGATGTGTGAATAGTATTTTCTAGAAAAATCCCGGAACGTCCTCGCCTGTGTGAACAGCGCTTTTTTAAACTTACCAGTAAAGTCGTTCCTGAAACTTTACGGATATTTACAGGTATCACTGTGTAAAAGTGGCTATTGTCAAAAGATTTCATGTGACTTCAGTGGTTTAACTGTAACACAAAGCTCTAAAAACACATTTGTGTGCCAAAAAAAACCTCGTCTCTGCTGCGTCAGGTCATCAAGAAACACAAAAAAATTATGCAACTTCGTATGAATAAAGTTGAACCACTGAAAAATAACATGGACTGTTTTGACAATGTTTTTGTTTCTTTTTCTGGACTTCTTGTGATCGTTGTGGTCTATGTAGGATAAGGGAGCTCTCGAATTTTATCTAAAATGTCTTTTTTAAATTTTTGTTATAATGATGAATCTCAGATGATTGGAAGTGTGATTAATTAATTTTAAAAAGTAGTAAATATATTATTGGGTAAAAGGAATCATTGAAACCACAATATGTCAGAATAATATTGGTTGATAGCAATGTCAGCATACTGTCAGTACTGGACAGTATCAGATATTTTTTAAAAATTCATTTTATTTTGTGTTCAAATATTTAATATGCATTTAATTTGCACAATTTTGCAATCAGTGGTTAACTAAAAGGACGCCTTAAAATAACCCAGATTTAACCCTTTAGTAGCACCATTTCTTAAAGAGTGCTTATAATAAATACTCAGAGTATAATTATGTATTCATCATCAGTACTCGATGTATAACAGACTTTGACAAAAACATTTACTTTAAGCATTTACTTTAACTTCATTCATTCATTTTCTTTTTAGCTTAGTTCCTTTTCGGCTTAGTATTTTATTTAGTCCTATTAATCCCTTAAATTATTTAGTTCCCAATTATTAGTCCCTTTATTTTTTATTATTATTAATATTATATTATTAAATCATTTTTTTCTTATACGTGTCTTTTTTATTCTTGTCTATGTAAAGCGTTATGAATTGCCATTGTGTATGAAATGTGCTATATAAATAAACTTGCCTTGCCTTGGCTATTAATTTAGGGGTTGCCACAGTGGAACGAACCGCCAACTTATCCAGCATATGTTTTATACATCGGATGGCCTTCCAGCTGCAACCCATCGCTGGGAAACCTCCATGCATTCTCATTCACACACATACACAACAGACTATTTACCTCACCCAATTCAACTATATCGCATGTCTTTGGACTGTGGGGAAAACCAGAGCACCTGGAGTAAACCCACGCAAACACAGGGAGAACATGCAAACTCCACACAGAAATGTCAACTGACCCAGCCGAGGCTCGAACCAGCAACCTTCTTGCTGTAAGGCAATATCGCTACAAGCACATATACAGTACCTCATGAAAATGTCAATTAAAACCATCTACAATTTATATTCTGTCTATGCTCCCATTATAAAGTTTGACTAGTTTTCTGCCACCTTGAAAACAACAACCATCAATCTGACCACCCGAAAAAACATTTATTTAACAAAGCAGTTAAATTCATTCACAACAACACCTATCCACGTTAAAATAAAGCACACCAACGGGCTTGTAATAAACCTGGAATTAAGGACATAAAACAGGGATTTGATTGAGGAACATTTACTACCCTGATATAAGAAAACAAAAACATCTGCTGCCCATTACTATACTAAACTTTCCAGCCACTGACCTGAGCACAGATTTACACCATTGCACCGTCCAAAAAGTCCCTGCAGCTGCGAGAAGCGTCTTGTGAACATGAGTGTTACTCGGACAGCAGGCAGATCCTCCAAAAGGCTTCAGATGTCAGAGGGATCAAACTACAGGGCAGTTAATCCAAGCTTGGACCAATCTTGGTGCATATGGAGGGCCACACAAACAGCTCTGGCTCAACTTCCTGCATAAACATTTTACACACACATGTAACAGAAAACAAAGTGCAAGACATTACAAATATTGGCAGATACACATAAAAGGGCTTGACTAAAGGCAGCAGCTGAGAGTCATTAACATATTGAAAACGGTGGGTTTTCAAACCTGTTTGAGTTTTGTTATGTTGAAAACAAAGACAATATTTTGAGGAATGTTAAAAACTGGTAGAGAACATTATTTTCTGGACACTAATGAATGTCGGTTCCCAACAATCTTTAAATTAAAATATCTTTTTGAGCTCAACAGAAAAATGAAACTTGTAAAGTTTTGAAATCGCTACAGGGTGAGTAAACGGTGCGTACATTTAATTATTCAGTGAACTTATTCTTTAAACCACATTCACATATACCCAGTTTTAAAAATGTAGTAAGTAAGTTTGACACCCAGTGGTTGAACTAGGTATTGCATTCCTGGATCAAAACACGTGCAAGCGCAGGTTGCAAGATTGATTTAACCAACACCTGAAATTTATATTTCAGGAACAGTTTCTATTTCTTGCAGCTGAACAACAATATAAACTGACAATGTTTACCTCAGGTACAATGCATGTGCTTTGTTCAGTGTTAAATGCTAATGTGAGTTTAAATGGCATTTTGCATGACATTTATTGCCATAGTACTGAAAGCAGCAGCAGAAAGTTCTCCTCAGATCTTAAAAATCAACCGTTTGAAATTGAACTACAGAACTGTGCAAGCCAACACATATCAGTGATCCAGCATGTACATTGATTGATGTAAGAAAGGTTTAATGTATTAAACAGAGTATAAACCTTACCATTTTGTGAGTAAGGGCATATTCTTTGCTTCTGAAAGGCTGTATTTAAATTTCTGTTGTTTCGTATAGTGCAAACAGCCAGATTGCTTATCACTGCAAATCATCTCACTTTGCATGTTGTTAGTACTTAGGGTTTTGATGTGTAACTTGCTCACCTGCTTCACCCCACGTGGAATCTGCGTCTCTGCTTGTCCACCGGAGGTCGCATTTTGGTCGTGGACACCTTCAAGGCAACACGGGGTGCTGAAATATAATTGGCTAAACTGCCAGTTGGCGGGTTTAAAAAAAAAAACAGAACAACAGTCTGCAATTCCGGCATGTAACAAGACATTTTCAAAGCAGAATATGTGACTTCAACATTTTCAGATAAGCAATAATGTTCACTGAGTATGTTTCTTAAATATCTGCAAACATATTACGGTATTTGTATGCCTTAGAAGAATCAAAAACTTACATACTTAAATAGTGCATTCAGATCCAAAAGAAAGAAACAAAACGATATTTCACCACTAGGTGGCAATGTTTAATTGTAATCTACATAGTCAATAAACCGTCAATAAGGCCATGGGAGTCAAGATCTGGCATGTTTCGAATAGGTCCATCTTATTCATACTTTTGGAAAAAAATATTAAAAAACATTTTTTATTTTAATCAGTAGTGGATGAGCACAGAAATCTCACATTTCTGTGGCCCCGGACTTGAAGATAAGGCTGCGTTTAAATGCACAAGGACACAACTTTCAACTACATTAAAAGTATCTTTACCCAAGACCGATGCACTCTCTTATCTATACAAAAATCATAGATAGGTTTAATGGAGAAGGTTAGATTTCTAATATGACATAAGTAAATGTCCTGTAAATTTAAACTGATACTTTGTAGTGCACGAGCTGTGCGAATGGAGTTTTGACTTGCAAATAAAGAAATACATCTTTGCATAATGGTTTACAAAGCAGACTCGCTTTATGAAATAATGATCCCATGCAAACATTCTATCTGGTAATGGTCTTTGTGCAAAACAGACATGCCATTCTTAACATTTCAAATTCAAAGAAAGAAAAAAGACAATGATAGATAGCAGAGTTGGAAACTTTGTATGTTTCCATCAGATGAAAATATTCCTTCAGTTTTACTTTAAATTTATTGCATTCAACACAATAAAATTTAATTTCGCTTTACATTTGTTGTATTAAACACAACTATTACAGTTAATACAAAATCCAAATATGTAACTCTTAAAATTTCTATCCAAAACATTAAAAATATAAAAAATTTCACAATTTTTATTTTACAAACAGATGTCATTGGCATTTTTGACCTCCTGCGACCAAGCTCATGGAGGTGGGATGAGAGCTTGCTTTATGTCAAAGGCATCAATGATTTCCTGCAACACACAGATCAGAGATTTGTTATTTCAAGCAAAGAACTGCATGTTAAATAATTATTTAATCATGCACAGAAATGTTGGAAAACCTGGAAATACTTCATACATAAGATAATCCTTCATATATAAATTTTTAGAGACAAAATCTTTGACACAAATTTAGTGTTTCTCTCAATCACAATATCAATTTCAAAATAAAAAATCTTTCAGGCCTCATTTTTAGCTCGTATTATAATGCATTAACAATCTGTTAAACAAGTGGGCACTGCATAAAACAAATTGTTAGCATGTTGACTTTACCCACTTCCGGAAGTGCTTGCTCATAGGTCACATAACAGGCATGTTCATTCAATAGTAACTAGTGCATGACACTATGTGCTCTGGCAAAAGTAATTTGAAAAAAGAGAGGAAAGAGTCTTGACTTAACTTGGGATTGAATCCCTAAAAATACATTAATGTAAGTTGGATGATGCTTATGTTCATTTTATTTTCAGTAATTCGACATAATATGCACCTATAAAATATTTGTAAAATATACACTTTTTTTTGTTTTTATATGAAGCAATGTCTGCCTTTTCTATAAATTCTATAAATTTCAAATAATAAATGTCTTTGTAATAAACCTGTACAACCTCAAATTACACATTGATTTTGTAAATGTTTATAACATAATTCAGGCATGTGACCAACCGAGGACAAAAAAGAAGTCGAGACCCACCCCAAAAAAATTAGCTTTATTTATTTTTGCTCTATTAGATGAAATATTAAGCAGTTTAATAGTGACCTATGTTTAATAGGTGTATACTTTGTACCTCAATGTCGGGACAGATCTAAAAACCTCTGCTAAATGGAGTCACTAACTCGGTTAACTTTTTTGTCAACAGAACATTGTTTTTCCTGTAATTTAGTTGACTCTAAAGGCCTTAAAATATTATGTCCTGTTGAACTGAGTAGCCTAATATACTCCACGTGAAGTAAAAAAAAAAATATCGCAAAAAAAGTATTACTTTCACTTTCCTTCGGCTTAGTCTCTGTTTTTAATAGTTTAATTAACCAAATTATATAATTGTATACAGGGCTGGGTGATTAATCAATAAAGCAATCGAAATAGACATTCAGAACCTATAATCAATCTAATTTTTAAGGTCAAATTTTGAATTACTTTCCCCTCCTGCGTGTAGTCACGTCAGCCCACTCATGTACAAGACATGTTATAAAAATGAAGCTGCTGAACTGAAAAATGTTCAGCACTTTGCAGCAATATCTGATCTCTGGTCAAGTTGGACAATGGACCCATTCTTGAGCCTTATTTTGCACTACACTGTAACAGTAACGGTTACTGGAAGCTGCACCAGAGAAGCCTTGAGATAGTGTTCATTCAGAAATCTCTCACTTGTAATATGTGAGCATATTTATAGTACAAAAACCTGTCAGTGAACTATTATAATAATAATAATAATAATAACAATAATAATAATAACAAATAAAAAAATTGTTTATTAATCGAAATGTTGATTTTAGGCCAAATCCCCCAGCCCTATTTGTATACAACTCTAACATCCAAATTTAAGAAACTTTCAAGTAACTTATTTCAGGAGCTCGGCTGCACTGAATAAATGAAGACATAATAACAAATGACTTGCAGAGGATAATAGCAAATGTGCATCCTGGCTTTATTTCTTTATTACATGCAAATTTGAAAGCGGAAAAAGCATTTAAAGCGATTTCATAAACTTGCATATTGTCAGCGACTTTGACATACGCGCACATTATAGGACTACACAATACCATATTATGTACACAGCAAATTACAGTAGTCAACCCACTGAGCTCAGGAAAATACAAAATTCGTATTTATACGGAAGAATCACATCCCTGATAAATCTATGAACAATTTTATATAAATATATATTTAAAAGTATCATGCAAAGAATTGTATCATATTTCAGTCTGCAATGTTTATATGCAACTTTATGTTGCTTATTAAGAAAAGCCTATTAACAGATTAACCAATTTAGTTTGATATATGACAACAATCATTTGGTGAATCATTACTGCAAATAAGGGTCACAATTTATTTTAGGATGTCTTTATTACAGCGAATGCATTAAAAGGGGACCTACTATGTCTATATTTACTAAAAGTAAAATAAATCTCTAATGTCTCTACAGTGTGTAAAGTTTCAGCTCTAAATACTAATACTAAATACTTCAGCTAATAAATAATATATATATATCTCTTTAGAACTCTTTGAAACTGCCACTTTTAGGCTTTGAATTAAATTGCACTCTTTTTTTATTGGCTGTTCAGATTGTGCTCCCAGCCCTCTTTTCAGAAGAGGGTGAAGCTACAAACACTTACTCATCAGCATAACAGATTTAAAACATGTTACAACTGAAGTTTATTTATTTATTTATTTATTATTGCGAATTGTACTCTGTCTTTTTCTTTGTCCCGCCTTCTTGTTGTTTTTCTGTTGTCTCATAGGCTCCCATACAAGCGTGATCTTGAGTTCTGATTGGCTGCTGGTCAGGGAGGCATGTATAAAAAGGAGCTTCCGGCAGGGTTCGGGGAGCTCATTTCTGCTGTGTTCGGTGCTTGGAGTGGAGCTCCTGGATTTCCCTCACCCCTCTGGCCGACGACCAACAACCATTATTGTACTAATGTTCATACGTTAAAATATTTTGAGAGTTTGAGCGTGTAGGGGTGGCCTGCCTATTTATTTGATTACTTTTGACTATGTTTATGTTTAGGGAGTAAGGTAAGCTTCTTGTATTTTTCTTTAAATAGTTATAGGTAATTTAGTGCATTTACTTTATAGATTCTTTTGTTTGTTATTTTGGCCTGTGGTCACCCTAAAGAGATGCTCATTTATATTAACCACATTTTTCTATAATAAATCTATTCATATATACTCTCAACTGAGTGTCTGAGTTTGGTTGTCGACCGAAGGGAGTCTTTTTGCATTAAGTTTTTGTTTTGTTTGAGAAATCCACCACCCCAACACATTTGTTTTTCTTCGTTTATTATGCCCATGTTGTTTCCCCAAGACTTTGGGCGTAATAAAACAGAACTAATATTATTTTTGTTTAAAACTGAAAATGCTAAAAAAATTGACTCTGAAGAAAGTCGTCTATGGAGACTACGGTGTTCATTTGTGCGTCCTAAAACTCTACATTTATAATGCCTCTTAGTCACTGACATTATCATCCACAGGTATGGTGTGAAAACTTATGCCAGATGGCTGCTTCTTGCTCAGGTCTATTTATGCTAATGAGGTAGAGGTCGTCACTAATAGATGTAGTTTAAAGTGTTTCTGCACTTTTTCAGTTGTGATTATAAAAATATTATTCATTAATTTTTATCATACGAGGCTGGATATACTCATGCACAGTCACCACACAACTTTGTTCAAACTCCTTATAAAAGTGATTTTTGCACAATAGGTCTCCTCAAAGTATAGAGAAATGCTACTTTACTGCATTAACTTAATATGGTTAGGGTTAGGATTGGGGTCAGTTGCATATAATTATGAATTAATTATTTTTATTACAAAAGTAAGTACATGAAACGTGTAACAAGCACACTAAAATAAAAGTGATGCCAAAAGAAATGCTAAAAACAGTTAAAGCGCTCACCCTCCAGCTTTCCTGGCTGATCGAGATGACACACTGATGTCGAATGGCAGCGCCACCAGGCTGTATCTCACCTTCCTCTACTGGAGCTACAATACAAGCACAAATATTACAGCCTGCAAGTACATTTAGACAAACAAACAAAAAAAATACAACAGTGACTTAAGGATGCGATCTAACCTATATAAGGAAGCCCATTCTCCAAGTACATCCTCGCCAGACCATCCTAAAAGTAATAAATAAAAAGTGATTTAATTCGTTATTGTGTGACTTGTGTTGAATGTTCAAGGCCAATGTAGCGTTTAAACTCACTCTAATTAGAAAAGACATGTGGAAGATGTTCTCCACCGTTCGTGAGAAGGAGTTAGGGTCGATGACGAACTCGTAATATGAAATGGGCTCCTCGGCTGTTCCAGAGAGAGAGAGTTTTTGAGTTTAATGCCTTATCAGCTTTTCTGGCTATGTCATGGCAAAAAGAACAGATCAAGTTCACAACATTTAACAAATATTACTTTTCTATAATTATACAAATATTTTAACAATAAAAGGTTATCAACATCATAAAATAATATAAAAAGATAAAATACATTATTATTATTATTATTAATATTATTAATAATAATAATGATAATAATAATAATAATAATAATAATAATAATAATAATAATAATAATAATAATAATAATAATAATACAAGATTAAAAAAAATCTAAAACTGTTTTTTAGGGTTTACTTTTGATAAAAAATTGTACAATTTTGGAAAGACTCTGATAGTGGGAAGCTGATAGTTAGCAGCTTAACATGCTTACAGTCATCTCTAAAGTATCTTTGCAGACATCCAAGAATCCTTTCCACCTCTTTCTCAGTTGCCTCCTGGTGAGATTCTTCCATTTTCTTCAGCTGTGATGATAAGGTATTTTTTTAATTTCTTAAAAACAGGTATTTTGGGGAGACAGTCAAGTGTTTGCATTATAATAAGCAGACCTGGGTGGGCATAATCCGTTTCTCCTCTCTGCTGGGCACTCTTCTTTGCCTTTCAACTCTCTGCCGTGGAGGAGGAGGCTCTGCCAAAAATGAGCCCAACCTTGAATATCAAATAACAAAACGTGTTGAATAATAATAATAAGAGACTATAAGAGGTAACTGATTTATAGTTTAAGTACGAAGAGATAACTTCATAAAAATCACTGTAAACTATATTTAAATATTTTTATTTGCACCAAAATGTAAAAAAAAATTACAATTTATTTGATCTGAGACTGTGAAGATAAAAATAATTGTGATATTACTGACCAAAAAGAAATATTAAAAATGAGTTTTAAAACTACATAATGACATCTGTGGAGGAAAAAACAGCAATGTGAAGTCAAAATGATGTCAAAGTTTATGACTTTTCAATTATACAGTTGGTACAGAAAGTATTGCCCAGAGGAGGATCCCCAAACGCAGGTCTGAAAAACTTGTTCAATCTTTTCCAAAAACACTCATGGCTGGTAGGGGTGTAACGATACACCAAAGTCACGGTTCGGTTTGGTTCACGGTTTTGGAGCCACCGTTCAGTTCCTGTTTGCTGTGGGGTTAGGGTTGATGTCATGTTAACAGCAATGCTAAGGAACAATAGATTCACTTAATAACAAGAAAAACTAAACTTTTTTCTTTATTAACTTTGCAATCACATTTTAGTACAGTCAGGATACCCGAGTAAACAACTAAAATTATAAATACCTCCAATATAGACTAGTCAGAAAAAACTATTTTCTTTAGTGCAGCCATCTTAACTAAGTAAACTAAAATTAAATAAATAACTGCAGTGTAGACTAGTGAAAGATCTTCTTCAAAAACACCATAATATCCACATTCTCAGGTGAGAGGCTTGATCTCTGTGCAGACACAGACATGATGGTCATTTTTGATTATTTAAGGTTTCAGTTAGATAGATAGGTTTCTGTTTAAATTAATTTAAAAATATACATATAATGTGTTTGTAAAGTGTTTTTACATGACATATTTACCAGCAAAATACATTGCAGTTGTGACTGAAACTAATGTTAGGGTTGTAGCCGGCTGTATTTTTGCCTCCTGATCTCTCTTTCTCCCATTCCCTCCATGCTGGTCATTTATGTAGGTCCGCCTTCACGACAGCTGATGCCTGTCATTTCTGTAGGTCCGCCTTCATGACAGCTGATTGGTCAGGAGACCGATCTATCATCATTTGGAGAAGTAGCGCGGGAATATAAAAAGCATGTCAGGAAGAGCGGTATTTTTCTCACATGATTGTTTTTGCTTAACTTTCGGTTGGGCAAAATTATTTTGCATTACTTTTGCCCACTTTGAGAAATTTTGTGAGGTTTGTACATTTTTATTTCAATTGATTTTTATGTTATTTTTTGGCTCGGCTCCCTCCTGTCAATATTGAGCTATACCTCCTCAAGTTCACTCTTTTCTCAGAATAAGGTGGATAGGGAAGATGTCATACGATTTCCATTTTTCAAACACGTAGAAAATGTATTGTTAAGACATCAGGTAAGAGGTGAAGGTCATCTTTGTATTTATTTTATTCTACAGTTCAGAATAAGGAAGAATGCGGCGCACTGCGCTGAAGACCTTTTTTTCTTTTCATCAGTTTTAGCGATATTAGGGGTTATTCGTGAGTTAAAATTGTTTTTTTACATTTATGTCTTTTGTTTGGCTTCACTATAGTCCCTAACTCGAGTTTAACTCATGTTTGTTTGATACTTTGAATTTGCTACTTTATTATATTATTTTTATAAGTGTAAATATTTCTCTGATTTTGTATATATTTGGGCATTATTCTGGTTTCACTTTTGTACATTAAATCACTTTTGTTGGCTCTGCTGCCAGTCTTTTGCTTACACCCTCACATTGTGAAATTACCACACTTTTTAAATGCGCTTCCTTATAAGTAAGTTTTGTGAAACAGTTAAGGCAGATAGGTGTGCGCTTTGTCTACGACACAAATTCCATTCCAGTACTCCACTGGAAAACCAAAATTTTCCCACACAGGTGACATAATTGTGTCTGGGGGATCTGCAATCTCATTACTATGTGAAGCAGCCATCCTGCGTACAGTAGTAACCAAGTGTGATCGCTCACTCAAGTCACATGACATGACATGCACTTGGACAATACTAACTTTAGAATATAATATTCAGAACAAAAGCTCACGATTATTAATACAATTTCATCAAATGTGATAATAAAGAAAAATTGGTTAAATTGGTTTAATTAGTTAGAGATAAGTGACGGCAACCTCAACAATGGGCAGCAGGGGGCGTGAGAGTACCACGGTACGCCACAAGAGTTTCGCGATACTATCGTGGTTGGTGTATCGCGATATTTTGGTTCAGTTTTTATATCGTTACACCCCTAATGGCTGGGTTAAATCAAAAGGGAGCTTCTAATAAATACTTAGCAAAGGGCCTGAATACTTGGGACCATGTGATATTTTAGTTTTTCTTTTTTAATAAATCTGCAAAAATGTCAACAATTCTTTGTTTTTATATCAATATGGGGTGCTGTCCGTACATCAGTGAGGGAAAATGAACTTAAATGCTTTTAGCATTATGCCTGCAAATGGCTGCTATTTAAGGGGGTCTGAATACTTGAAACAGTCTTTAATTTGACTTAATTTACTACAATATTACTCACATGTAGTGGAAAGCCGGGGCTGTTCTAAAGCAGTTCTCAGCTCTCTTTGCAAGCTTAAGCCAGGCTCCTCCTGGTAAATAACCCCCCAAGTTTCCATCCGTACCACTTTCATCCTCCAAACGATTCAGATCCATAAAGGACAACTAGACGGAACAATACAAAAAACAAAATCAACCCAGAAAACAAATCACATCAAAGTGAATCTGCATTTGGTTTTATCTTAGCAGACAAATATAAGATCTATCCTGTCCTCTTACAGAAAGTGTGCATTTACAATCTGGTTCTCTCATTTTTTCTGGTCCATTACAAAAAAAATGAAAAAGGTACATAAAGACCTGATTTGCTGTGTGTTAAGTCTGACATTCTTAAGGCCAAACAATTATAATCTAACAAAGTTTTTTTTCTTATATATTTAATGACAGAACCTACTTAGCATCCAAAATAATCCAGTGTGCAGGGCCTAACGAACCCATTTAATGTGTGTGCATGATGCAGCTCAGATTGCACTGCACCAGGTCTGCATCTTGACCCCTCTCTATTATGTAGATATTTAATTATGGTCTCTTCTCCCAAAAAAAGAGCCCTTCAAGAGTTATTTAGAACACGTATTTTTTATATTTCTATTGTGAAACGTATGATTTTGCATGACACACCACAGCCTCATTCACTGGAGAAAAGATTAGAGTTGCAAGATTTACAACATGTCAATTTATCAACTTCTCCTAAACAACAGGAAAGCAAATGGTTGTTTAACATGGAGAAAAAACAAGGTAAGAGTTTTAGTGGGGCTGGGCGATAAATCACTTTTATCGATTATAGTAGTTTACATTGATTTGTTTGAATAAAGCACTCGTTTTTCACTCTAACAAATGCAACACTCTCCTCTGGGCTCATGTAGTTCCCCCATATTTTCCATAGAAACAAACAAACAACATGGCACTGAGTAAAGCAGAAATCAAAGAATTGTTGTGCTCTATGAAATGAAACATGACTTGGGCCCACAAGCACAACAGTAATTACATAATTCTGATATGCTTAAGCTAATTATATCCGCTTGTTATGTGGTGACGTGTGGGTGGCATATGTAATACTGTTTCCGGGTCCAAGCCGCCACTCATTTGAGTTGAGAAACTATTCGTTTATGATCACTTTTTATTCACATCACACATTAAAGTTAATTTTATATAAAGTCATAGTGTACACAACAATCTCTGGGCTTGCTGCAAAACAAATACCAAAATTTTAACAACTTATAAAAAAAAAGGAATCACTTTCTGGCTATCGGATATTAGGCATGGACATGTTTATTGCGATCATGATTTTTGAAAGTATTACATTAAATTAGTATTACATAAAATTACCATTTCATGAGTCTCCCCATACAGTTGAATAGAGCGCTTGGACCCGGAAGCCGTGACGTCACACTTAAAAAGCTGATAGGTTAATATCCTTCAACAGCACACATTTTTTAAAGGGTGAAAAAAAGTCTATTTAAATGTATATGTAAAAAAAATCTGAGAATTTTTAAAAAGGCCATCTTTGTTTTAGTTACCAAAACATTGTGTATCTGTTGTGAATGACTCATTGTAAGAGTATATGTAAAGTTATTATTATTTCTGTCTTCCACAGTTAACAATTTTAAATGCTCTGACCACACTGGTGTGATCGTATACAACTTTGCGGCCAACCTAGACTGATCAGACTACCTCAAAGGGTTACAATTAGAAAGTTTTATGATTACCCCCATTTTATTTACAGTCCTACGGGAGAATGTAGTCCACGCCCAAACACTAATGATGACTCAGTAAATCTGCCTATGGCTCAGTCTCTCCTGGAGAGAATCTGATAGCTGTAACTTTGTTTTAAAAGTGTTTAAAAAATGTAAGACTTATGAGCAAAGTGAGCTTGTTACATACCCTTTAAGCAATCTAATCTTTTCACATGTGCATGATGTCCTAGTTGTGTTTGGTTTACATGTTTTCCAAACATGTCAAGTCATGCCATAGCTTACCAAATGTTCTGCAAATGCAGATGGGTCAAATGAAGAGCCTTCAGCATGTAGCTGGCTGGCCTTCTCCTTCCCTAGATCAGTGGCTAGTACCAAGAGTTGAGCGTCTAGAGCTGCTTCACGAGCTTGTCTCACTAAAAGCAGACACAGCAGGAAAATATCATGAAGACTGAATGACTGAAATGTTTACACACAGAGTTCTACCAAAATATTCATCAAGCTAATGCAGTGAACATGCTGTAGAATTGATACCATTGGCAAAAAGTTTGTTGGCCTCTTCCAAAACATCAGTGAGTTTATTGTTAGCAGGATTCAACATGTCCTCGCGATTTTCTGTCAACAAACAAGTAAAAGAAGCAATCTCAAAAATCTACTTGTACATTAAACATCACAACTGCATAACTGAAACCCACTTGAAGAGTATCAACACTCACGCTGAACTTCATTAATCAGGTCCCTGTATTTGCTCCTGATCTCTCTTCTGCGTGAAGGATCATCATCTTCCTGACTAATACCAGAGGGTCCGCCACCAATATCATCTTCATCACCCACATCGCCCGATCTCTCAGGCCGGTTCTGTCCACCCACTCCATTGGTTGACCCTCCTGGTTCCTCTTGATTCCCCCGGGACCTTCTCCTTGAATCAGACATCTTCAGTGATTCTGGTTGGTTTTCTGTTCACAAAGACACTTGTGTCAGAACATGAATAAAACGGACATTTTACCTTTTTATTTCTAAATTGGCTTTTGTCTATCAGATAAAATGAAGGTTCACGCTGGTATTCAACATAATATAATAACACATAATATGATATAATAAAATATGATATGATATAATACGCGTATTGTGCAGCATTATTTTGTAAAATATAACATCAATTGAACTACTGTGGTACATTTTCTGCTAATCACATGATGATTTAACAGTATTTCACTGCTAAACGAACACATTTCAGTGTTTACAAATAATTAAAGCATATGTTTATAAGAATTAATGCATACGTTTATAAGAATTACACATTACTTTTAAACGTACTTCCCAATAATTATCATGATTAACGTTAATACAGTCGACCGAAATATACGAGCAGACATCGTAAATTAAAACCAAGACAAGAATCAATAAACACTAATGTACAAAACTAGAAAAGGAGAGTGTACTGTAAACACTTACAAACTTTAAAAACATTAAGGTTCGGCATTTACATCAACGGTGAAATTTTCGCGGGAGCAGGAGGAAGTGTACTTTACGTCATTTCCGACGCATTCAGTGACGAAGCTCGTAGCTGTCGTGTTCTATTTTTTATTCTATACAATTCTATTTTAATATTTCGCTGTGCTGTTCTTATACTTTGACTACTATATTTAATACTATATAAGCTTTATTCACAACCTACACATTTTACTGTGAGTCAAGTCAACTCACAGCCTTGTGGTAGTTGTAGTCCTTATTAAGCATCACGTAAGCAATTTGCCTTAAGAGAGCACACTATATAATCTATGCCGTTGAACAAAACCTAAAAGTCGTTTCATGTATTGTTAACTAAAGACATCAATTACCGCATACACCGGAGATATACCAAAATCATCAAATAGATCTCGAAAATAATGCATGGCGAATCCTGAGACTACAAACTGACGTCATGACTAAGCATCTCGGAGTGTTGCTTTTTTGGAGTAATATTTATTTTGAATGCAATTTTTTATTGATTTGTTTTGTTTTTTCTTGCGAATCCTGTTTCATCTCAAAAACGTAGGCTACTAAAAACAAGAAAAGCACAAAATGTTTGATACATTACAACAACTTTTTTTTAAACACCATTGTTAAACCATTGTCGATATGATTTTTTTTCTCTATTTTGTAATTGCTTTTAATTAATGTTATATTTTTGTGATTATTAAGATGTTGTTTCCTCTGTATGTTACGTTTACATTTAAGAGATATAATTGTAATATTTCCTTTTTATTAACAAGTTTGACAATTTTAATAATACCTTTTTAGAATATATTTTTTAACAGAGTGAAATTTCTTTAAGTTTGTATTTTTCAGATAGTTGAATATATATTCAGGTAATTCAGATAGCATAATGTCCTAGTGTCCTTTTTATATGTAATATTTATTTAATATAATGTAATTAATATAATATAATATAATATAATATAATTCATAAAATATAATTTAATATAATTAATATAATATATTTAACATAATATAATTAATATAATATAATTTCATATAACATAATTAAATATAGAACAAGATAATTAATATAATGTAATTATTATAATATAATATAATATAACATAATATAATATATTATAATAAAATATAATTAATATAATATCATTTAACAAAATATAATTATATATAGTACTAGATAATTAATATATTTTATATAATATAATATAATATAATATAATATAATATAATATAATATAATATAATATAATATAATATAATACAGATATGCCTGATCCATTTGTAGAGCTGTGTGACTTAAACTCCTCCCTTAAAAGAGAAAAAAATAAAAACAATACACAGGGTCTGTTTCAAAACGTAGTAAGTCACCTACCTAGGCACGATTTCAGGCTCTCATTGTCGTGATCATTGCAGAGCAGTGCGCTTGTCTGTATAGGCAGCTGACTGGGTGTTGAAACACATCCAGTGGATTCCGGAAATTAACAAACTCGTGATGTCAGGAGGAGTGGGAGAGAAACAGACAGCAGAAGAGAAATATACGGGTTTTTCGCACGATTTGTGGACTATAAAGTTATGATACCGTCTTATTATGGAGTTAACGCGTGAAACGAGCACTGGACATGTTTCGGGGAGACTGCGGATGATCGCTGGTCTAAACTGAAAGTGATTACACGAGCGGTTGGGTTCTTCCTATTCAAACCGACGCTTCTGCAAACATGACGCGACTCGCGTTGGAACAAGTGACCGATTTCGGCGATTTCACCAAAGGAAAGGATCTGAAGGAGTTTTTAAAACAAGCATACTCCAACATATCTTCTCAAAACTGCCTGTCCGATGTGCGTCTGAGTCCAGATGGACGTCACATTCATGTCATTGTGCGCCAGCCCAAAAGTGGTCTTATGACATACGACAAATATCAGCGAGCCCATCTCCTGCAATGCCAGAAGCACATTGATTTAGTGCTAACTCGAAATGTGCCTATTGTGGATGTCCTTTATGTCCCTCAAAGCAGCAAACCAGAAGATGGAGCCTCAGTGCTGGGGGTCATTTTTGAGAATGGAAAAGTGGAATTCTGGAAATTCCTGGAATGTGGATCGGGCTGGCGATTGCTCCAGACTGTGGATCTGTGTAACAGCCCTCGTGCTAAAGTAGTGTCTGTGAGCATGTGTCAGAATTTCATCATATGGTGTGAGGAGCGACCGCCATCAGAGAACTCCAGTGCTGTGTGCAGCAACTTCAGGTTCTGCATCTGCAAGAAGACTGTAGAAGTTAATAACGAAGGGGGTGTCAGTTTGGGAAATGTGAAAATTGCATTGCATAATAATCCTCAGTATATGACCGTCAGTTCCGGAGATTTGGTTTATCTGCTCCCAGACACGCAGGTGAAATCTTTGATGGGTGTTTCCAAGGTTTTTCTTGCATGGTCACCTGAACACGACACATTTAATGTGCACAGTGCCAGTAGCTGCACGCTTATGAAAAGCTCAAGCAAAGAATCAGACTTCAAGAGACTTGTTTCAGACTGCATTGGCCTTATATCCACCATAAATCCTCCTGATATCCGAGGATTCTCTCCGACTGGATGTGGAGACCTCCTCCTCCTCCTCAGTACTGGCTGGGTATGTGTTATGAAGAAAGATGGCAGTCTTTGCAACATATACAAACTTCCTGATAACTGCCTAAGTGCTAGTGGAACTCAAACCAGCCTTAATATTTACAATGACACCCTGGCGCTAACAATAGGCAGGACCCTTTTTTTAATTGACACTAAATGTGGCCTGGAATTAGAACGGATAAGCCTAAAAACGGAGGGTCTTCTCTTTGTAAACTCGCATGACAGTCACTCTCCACAAATGCTGTCAGAAAGCGGGCTGTTTGTGGTGACACAAAAACCGAAGCCTGCTCTGACACCTTTTGAAGACTCGAGCGCACTCTTAGTCGAGGCTGTCTTCGAGGAGGCATGTAAATATTATCAGCAAAGAAGTCTAAGTAGCACGCAGCTCACGGTGGAGAAGCTAAAAAAAGGTGGGATGTTTCAAGCGCCCATATCACTAGCTGCCATCCTCAAGGATTACCTCAGCAACCAGAAAACTAAACCTGGGGAGAAACATTCCTCAGGTCAAGAAAGGCTCATGAGCTCGCTCGAATCAGAGCTTAGGAGTCTGGTTTTGCTGGAGGACATCAAAACATCAATGGTGAAGGCTTCGGAGAAAGACCTGGAGAACTATTGTGAAAGCCTGGTGCAGCAGGAGATCTGCCGTCTGCTTGGTGGAGAGCTTGAGAAGGAGAACCTTCAGTACCTGAATGGCATCTTTCAGCAGTTTCCCACTTACTCCTGGCATGGCATTCAGTCAGTCTTGCATCTGAGGTGCAATGGTGAAGGTTCGCTGTCATCTAAAGCTCCGGCTGAGTTGTGGAAAATCATCCTTAGTCCTGTGCAGCCCACAGCCAACTTTGCTCACTGTAACGGTCAGCAGAAACACACTGCAGTCAACCTGCCTGTTTTTGAGCTCTTGTGCCACTCCATCTTCAAATTCCAGCCTAGCTGGCTCCCAAGGTTTCTGGAACTGGCACAACAGCAGGCTGGCATGTCCTCCTCATCCTCATGGACTTTCGGAGTGAAGGAGAGCTCTGAAAGCGTGCCGCTCTATAAAAGAGCCCTGACGGTGCTCCCTTGTAAAGGCACCTACCAACACCTGGAGGTGGAGCTGCTTTTGTGCAGCGAGAGGCCTAACGCGATAATGCAAGCCCTGCGGATTCTCATTGAGCAAGGCCAGTGGGAGCGTGTGACACAAGTCGCAGAGAGGTTCTGCCGGCAGAGCCCACTTCTAAACAAAGAAATCTTCAGCACACTTCTCTGTGAAGTGTCCCAACATAGAGACCTTGACCCTTATTTGGACCTTCTGTGGACTCTTTGTCCTGAGGACATGACCGTGACGAGTATACTTAACACTGTACTCAAAAACATCCCAGGTTCGACACGGAACTCAGGACCATTCGAGGCTCAGGGAAGTCAGGTCACCATTGGACTTTTGAAACCACTACTCCAGAAGGTTCTCCAAAGGGAGTCCAAACCAAACCAGAGGTACGCAGATATCCTTCAGTCACCCACAATTCCTCCGCTCACTCCTCCTCGCCAGCCAAAGGGACTGTTCAGAAACACTGATCTGAATACTGAGCTCCAGGAAGACAAGCAGAAGACTTCCTCTGGATCTCAAGTGACATCTCGAACAGGCCTGGTCTGACTTTCACACTCATAAATCACATCCATATACTCTTATTAAAATGGGTATTCAAGAGAGAGTTACCTCCAAAGTTTAGATTATGTCATCATGTGCTTACACTTATGTTGTTTCAATTCCAAAGTGTGTGTGTGTGTGTGTGTGTGTGTGTGTGTGTGTGTGTGTGTGTGTGTGTGTGTGTGTGTGTGTATATATATATATATATGTATGTATGTATGTATGTATATATTTATATATATATGAAGAGTTCAGATGGAAAAACCTCTAAATGCCATTTGACATTTCCTTAAAAACATTTTTCTCAACCTCCTATAGTTGTGTTAATGTATTATTTCACTTTACGGATAATGACATTGCCCTATTCATCGACATAAAAGTGAATTTACTGAAACTACACAGAAGAACCTGAGAAAAATGCTCATTTTAAAAGAAAAGTTTAGATGGCATTGAGAGGTTTTTACATCTGAACTCTTATTAATATACAAAAGATATTATTGTGAAAAACAAAAGAATGAATGTCATACAGGTTTTAAGATAGACAAACGTGAGTAAATGATGACAGAAGTTGAGTTTTGGGTCAACTGTCCTTTTAAGAATTTATTTACCTTGCATGGTATGAACAAAATGATGCATCTTCATAGGATTGGATCATATTTCATTAATAAGTATGGAAATTGTAAAGTAATAATGGCAGTGTACAGGTGTTTATCTGCTGCTTTAATTATTCCTGATATAGAATTAATATATGTTGTTTTTATGTTTACATGGTCTTCTGCATTTCATCGTCATCTTATACTGTATGTCTTCAGTGTTTTTAAACCGTATTTTCTCTTTCCTAACCTTTACATGTTGTTTTGTTTTTATGATTTGTCTTTCATAAAGGAATGCTGTCATCCTAATATTAACAGAAGGTCAAGAATGACTAAGCATAATCCACATTTCACACATCATTTATTTTATGAGCCCCTATTGACACTACAGTTTATCATCATATGCTGGTATAATTATTATTTTAGGAAAATCCAGTGGAAGACGTAAGCTAATGATTGTATGGGTCAATTATGAGATGTACAGTAATATTAAATGTAACGTGCATGCGGATGAAATGGACTATCAGACCTTAATGCTTTCAGGATTGCTCTTGTATTTACTGCTATCACAGGGCTTTAAACATTGTAGAAAGCTATTAAATATGACTCCAGTACATCGCTGTTGGTCATTTTCATGTCTCTTTCTGAACTGAAATGTCATTGGTTATTTATGGTTGTGTGGTCAGAGACGGGGATTTCTGATGTGTTTCCTATGCAAGGCTTTATAAAGTCAGTATGTCTTTGTTCAGCTCCTCCTTTTGCATTTTTCCTGGGCAACCAACAACCGCATTCACAGTGCTGTCTTAAATTAAATTCAGCTAAATTCTATTATACAGTGAGCTGCTTCAAACTCTGTCACTTTGGACAGGCTTGTGTTGCCCTCAGTCGACTCGGTGTGGCTAATTGTATTTAAAAAGCTGAAACACTTCTGTTTTTCCCATTGTGTGTTTACTAAATCTTGGTTTAATAGAGCCATCACTCAAAAGCAACAGTCAAACAGATTTTTTCAGCTAGCTGAATTGACTGCAAGTGGGAGTTACGGATATTTAATACACTGTAAAACCCAACAGTCAACTTTAACAAATAAAATGAGTGTAGTTAACTCAAAATGTACTGAAAGTTAATTCTACTCATTTGAAAAAGTGTTTTGAACTCAGTGTTGAAGGTGACTAAATACTTCATTACTTCAACTCAAATGGAGTAAGTTCACAGTACTTATATATATAGTATATAGATTTTTTTTTTTTTTAACTCAAATGGTTTGTGGCAATCGGTTTCCTCAAACTGGTTGAGTTGCCTTACCTTATTGGGTTTTACAGTACTCAGTTGGTTTGAGTTCTCCTCATTTATTGGGTTTTGCTCAAAATGCTTTGTTTACTGAAATTGGTTGAGTTCACAGTACTCATGATTTGTAGCAATCAGTTTCCTCAAATGGTTTGAGTTACCTTAACCTTTTGTGTTTTAAAAAGCATTCCTGTTTCAAATAAATGCTCTTTCTGTTCATCAGGGTATCCTGTGCTTTCTTAAAGTGATTTTCATTTAATTATTATGTTTTAAACAATCAAAGACTTTGACTCATGCACTGAAAAAATGTATGCAAAACTTTTGCAAACAATTTATTTGTGTTGAATTTAAACAAATTAAATTTAATAAAATTCTTTTTAATTTGTTTGTTTAAATTCAGCCCAAATAAACTGTTTACAGCTACTTAACATAAAAAAATTTTGTAAATCCAAGGAATCATTTCTGATTTTTTTTCAGTTTGGTAACAACTAAACAAAGCAGTCAACAAAACAAAGTAAAAAAGAGAGCCCAGAAGCTACTTTAAAATTATTACAAATTATAATATCGACACCTTAGAATTATAAGATTCTATGACATTTTTGTCAAAATGAAGTTATTGTTGACATATTCTTATTAAATGACAACTTATTTACATTATGGGATGTTTTTATAAGTTGTTTACATTTTAATACTTTAAAAAAATGTAACACACACTGTTTGCTATGGAATGCAAAAACTTTAAAGCTCAATATCTCAAAATCATAAAGAAAGCTGATAGAACCTTATAATTCCAAGATGTGTTAATAAAAATATGTTTTTGGTGTGTACTTTTTAGTATTTTTAATATGCATTTCCAATGTAAATGTATTGTTCAAAATATATTTAAGACATTTAGCAAGATTTGAAAATAATAATGTTTTAAAATGTTTCAGAGGATTTAAGCTAAATATATTTCAATGATTTTTAAAAATGTGTTGTTTATATCTTGGTTTATATATAATAACTTAGATTTGATTGTAATTTTAACTTAAGTGGCACATATTTTACCCCTTTTACCAGATCTAAGATAAGCCTTTGGTGTCTTTAAAATGTGTCTAAAGTTTCAGCTCAAAATACCAATCAGATTATATTATAGCCTCCGGAATATGCTCATTTTGGTGTCCAAGTACAGTATAGCTGTTTTTGTAGCCTGTGGCTTTAAATCCAAATGAACTGCTTCTCCCTGCCCACCTCTTCCATGTGCGTGTCTGTTTTTCATCTTGCGTTAGGTCCAAGCGGCAACCTCCCGCTCTCCCTCAGGAAGCCAATACAGAAGTAACTAAAACTGCAATTCATCCGAAATTCCGCTAGTCCTGGCCGCTCCTGGCTCCAAAACAGAGCAAATTTTAATTGAGCCCACTGTTAGAATGGCCAACTTTACAACAGAAAAAAGGGTGTTTACAGCCTGGTACAAAAAAAGATTTTGGTTAATACAGCTAATATTACCCTTCATGACAACTGTGAGGGGGTGAATTTTTTTATAACTCATCCGTTTCCTTTATATTGAGTTATATTAAGTTTGCATAATTAAGGGCGTGGCCACTTGATTGACAGCTAGGTCTCGCTGGTCGCCGTCACGTCACCTCAGCTGAATCCTGCAGATTAGCCACTGAACTCGGCATATTTATCGTATTTCTGTGTTGTTTTATGTGGCTTTACACAGTCAACTGCCTTTTGGACTTGTTTCCTACAATTATTAGATGGCATGGCATGCTGAGGGCAGTTAATTGTGCTCATAAACCATTCACGTGGCCTCCGTTTCTCATGTGAGTGAAGTTATATACTTATATACCATCTCTATACATGTATTTGTTTTATTTAAGATCATTTATTGTTTATATTTATATTTAGAGCTGTAATGCACTCCAGAATCTGACGAATTGATTAGCTGTAGGCTCTAGAACAGTCATCTAAAGTGTTATCATACAGTGTTATGCTGGATTTCATCAATAGTCTTACATTAACTAACACAGACTATATCTGAAGTGTTTGGAAGTAATTCGCGTTTTCCTCCTGTTGAAAAACGTCATAAGAACAATGTTTAGTGGCTCAGTGTATTACAGCAGTGTTTTTAAAAGTCTAAACACTTTATTGATATAGTGTACAACCAAGCACAAGTGGTCAGAATACAAACGAGTCACAGGTGATAAAGTATTAAGCGTTCTCCCAAAGTAAAGTGTGTCTGAACCAGGTCCAAGCTAAATGCCAGCAGGTGTCTGAATCTCCGCTCATTCTCCGCCTCTTTGCCCTTGTTTGGTATCCTGCCGTCGGTGTGATGACGCGCGAACATAATGGCGACGGTTGGCCACGCCTACTTGTGGCTTCTTTTGCGCTCTTTAGAAACCTATGGGTGACGTCACGGATAGTACGTCTATATATTTTACAGTCTATAGTTAGGTCAGATAAACGACACAGTGACAGACTTGGATAAAGCTGATTAGTCAAAAATACCAAGTAAGTTTATTTCATGTATTTGTGGTGAAGTTTATTCAAGCCCTTCTGAAATGATGAGTCTTACACAAATGCCATTTTTGATACACACACAGACACACACACACACTTTTTAGCATTTACTGACACCATGCAGCAGTGCTTTACTTACTTTATTAAACATGCTCTGTTTTAAAAACTTTTTAAACGTATAAAATTTATAAAAATCACAAAGTTGAAATGGCGGTTCATTCCGCTGTGGCGACCTCAGATTAATAAAGGGACTAAGCCGAAAAGAAAATGAACGAACAGAGTTGGAACAGATATTTTAATCTCAGTTTATTTGCAAAAAAATGTTCTGTGTTCATGTGTATACATGTTATTATAGAAACATGGCGCCTTTCAATCAATTAAGTGGCTGGGGAAAACACTCCTACGTCACGTTGCGGTGGGCCTCAAAAGCATTGGGATTTGGGTCCGATTTAATCATCATTAAATTTTTAACAGAGATTTAATGTGTTTCTATCACTCCAATATGATAGTGGTCACACTATACCTCCACACAGTTGTGCTCAAACGGCTTACAAAAGTCCATTTTCTTTATAGACGCCCTTTAATTTGATTGTTATGCACCTTTTGTAAAGCTGATTTGAATAATAATTGTTGTAAAAAGCTATACAAATAAACTTGAACTGAATTGAATATAACATGCATTGGACAGAAACAATGAAGCATTTTACCAACCCCAAAATAATAATGCTAATATTGATTTATAGGACCAAATAAAAACAATAAAACTTTAACAGTAAAAAGAGAAATATGAACTCAAAACCATAAAATAAACACAAATATTTAAGTCTGTTTTTAGTAAATCGTTAAAGATGTTAACCCAAAATTAAATCTCTGTCCATTCACTATTTTCCTGTCCTGCAACCTTTGTCATGAAGCAAGATTTAATGTAATGATTTAACAACCTTGCATTGCGTTTAATCATTTTCTCATGCCCTACATTCACCTAGCATGAGTGTGTGTGTGTGTGTGTGTGTGTAAGATGTAGTTGTAAAATATTTCGTCCTGGCCTCTTGCAGTGCATGTCTATTAAGCACCTCTGGCATTTGCTAATCCACATGCAAAGTACTAGCCCTAATATTGAGCTTTTTCTGGCATGCTTTCAAATGATAACCTCATATATGACATATTGCAAACGTTTTTAAAAGATACTACACTACCATTAGTTTATGTAATCCTGATGTCTTTGTTATGATAGTATATTCTAAAAGAAGCACAGACATACACTCATCGGCCACTTTATTAGGTACACCTAACTAGTACCCCCTTTTGCCCTAATCCTTTATGGTATATTTTCAACAAGGAAAATTCCTCAGAGATTTGATCCATATTGACATGATAGCATCACGCAGTTGCCGCAGATTTTTTGGCTGCACATCCATGATGCAAATCTCCTGTTCCACCACATCCCAAAGATGCTCTATTGGATTGGAATCTGGTGACTGTGGAGGCCATATAAGTACAGTGAACTCATTGTCATGTTCAAGAAACCAGTCTGAGATGATTCACACTTTATGACATGGCGCGTTATCCTGCTAGAAGTAGCCATCAGAAAATGGGTACACTGTGGTGTTAAAGGGATGGACATAGTCAGCATCAATACTCAGGTAGGCTGTGGCATTGACACAAAGCTCAATTAGTCCTAATGAGCCCAAAGTGTGCCAAGAAAATATCCCCCACACCGTTACCCCACCACTACAACTGTTGATACAAGACAGGATAAATCCATGCTTTTGTTGTTAACACCAAATTCTGATCACACCACCCGAATGTGGCAGCAGAAATCGACACTCATCAGACCAGGCAATGTTTTTTTCAATCTTCTATTGTTCAACTTTGAGCCTGTGCGAACTGTAGCCTCAGTTTGCTGTTCCTAGCTGATAGGAGTGGCACCCAGTGTGGTCAGGCAGTTGGAGGTGTACCTAATAAAGTGCCCAGTGCGTGTATGTGTGTAATGCATGTTCCACTGCTCTAGTTTTTGTGATAGGCCAGATAACCATGAAAATGCTTTTGCTTTCAAATAAATCTCAAAGTCTTTTGTAAATGTTTAGTGCTGTAACGAAGACCACTGCGAATACAACAATCTGAATATTCTTAAAAGGCACTATAAAAGATGAAATAATTATGAACTGTACTGTTAAGCATCACTCACAACATTTGCTGTTTGTTCAAACTACTTATTTAAAATGAAGTGAAATGACGCAATTCTTGATTTTTTTTTACAATTGATTGAAGTTCAATCTACTTAAATTTAAAAAAAAACTAATAAGGTAACGGTTTTATGTTGCTGTGTTTCACGCAATTCCTTCATGTTGTCCCAACACAAATTGTAAAGTTTTTGCAACTTTAAGTGGATTGAACATAAAACAATTAAGTTGCCCCTTAAAAAAATCTAAAGTTGTGTTGTTTCAGCTCATTTAAATAAGTTGAACAAGAAGCAATAGTCTTCTTTTTTGAGTCAATAACAACAATATAATCCATGTTCATTATTACTATATCTTGTATTATTAAATGTTAAAATGTGTATGCAGTAGTGCTTTGAGGCCTCAGTCACAGGAATAGTGTGTTGTGGGGGCATGGTTTCTACTCCAGCTAAACATACTGAGGTAAGAAATGATTTACACCAAACAAACAGCTTCAGCATGGATGTGTGAGCACTCTTATTACTGTGATTAATGCATAACAAAAGGAAGAAATGTTTAACAGACTTCAGAATCCAGTGCTCTTCTCAATTAAGGCCCATTCAAATGAAGAATGATGTGGTTTTAAAAAAAAGAATTGTACATTTAAAATAATAGTTGAGTCAACAACTAATGACAATGGCTTATAACAGAACATAGTTTTAATTAATTAAATGAATGAATTACTTCAAATATTTTATTTTCTGTTGTACTCAGAAGATATTTTGAAGAATGTTGGAAATGGGTAACCATTGAAAATCTATAGTATTTGTATGTGACTACTAGTACCACATACCTCAAAAAAATTCTTTGTTGTTCAACAAAAAAAAAATTAAACCATTTCAGGGTCAAATTTAAAGTAAAGTGTCATTGGACGACTCATTAAACTCATTTTAACTCATTAAAAAGTTGGAACATTTAAATATACATTACAAAATTGGAGTGTGTGCTTATAGTAAACAGAACAATATTATCTGCCTGTCTGGATATTACTGTAGTTATTCATCAAAGTACTCCTTATTAGAAGAGTATTACTGAAATGTTATATTTATAAATAAAACAACGATATCCATAACAGAATATCTCTGTTACGTCTTGGGAAAAATCATAAATATAAATATAAATCAAAGGACCTTATAAAGTGCTTTCAAATGTTCAGACTCCAATTACAATACAAAAACCTCACATGTGTAACAGTAAAGATGTGCTTTTCATATACATATTTAGGCTGCATCCAAAACTCGCCCACGATACCCTTAAATAGTGCACCATTTGAAGGAGCAGCCATTTGTAATGGTGTCTTAAACCATAGTGGATGTGCATCAATCCTACAATGGATCGCAATAATAAGTGTATGACAAATGTACAGTTAACGGCTAGAGAATACACATGATGCACTGTGAAAATGGACAGTGTCAGTATCAATTTCCACAACTGAAAGTGGAAATCTAAAAACTGGAAGGCTAAAATGGAATCCTGTTGAAATGATTTCATAAAATTGTCATTTAATTGTTAAATTCAAGTTTGTTTACATGGCAAAAATCTAAATACTTTGTTTCATAACTAATATCTAGCTTGCTAAATGTTAAATAGTTATCAAAAAGCCTAACCAATAATTTGAAAATCTAATATATCTGAGGGATTTATCTAGCAAAGCACAAACAAAACAGCAAACAAACTCGCTCCTTTTTACTCACTCCTTTAAGTGGACTATTAGTGGAATAATTTAGGGAGTAGTGAATAAGGGTATATAGGGTGATTTCGGATACAGCCAAGTGTTGAAATCATTAGACAAAAGAAATGAAATGAACAATTTGTGCCACTATAAGTTAAAAAAATTAATTAAAATCATTTTTGGCATATATTTTCTATATTCGCTGCCTATCTTCTTCCATCTAGTTGATCAGACGGATTGAAGGATAAGAGTGTGTGTCAGTCATTTTTTTATGATGTACAGTACACATCATTGTTTCGCATTTTCAACAAACTCAGGTTTGAGATTGGCCTTTGGGAAAGGATGCATCGGTAAGTTATTGTTCCTTTAGAGAGAGAAATCAGAAAAGTTGAGTTGATCAGTAATAAAAAAAAAGCTCACACTAATCATTCACATATTAATATGAATATACCTTACACAATGACTTACTCATACACATCTGAATACTTCATCCTGCGGTAGTACTTGGCCAGTTTAACAGAGAGAATGATGCTGGGGATCAGGAACAACATACACCAGCCCAAACTGAACCAAAAGGCGTTCTGAGGAACCAACAGGACATTATTTGTTAATAGATTGGAATCATGTGTAAATTTATTAGATCCATATACATCTTTTCTATGTCTCAAGATGCTTTATTTAAAATGCTTTTTATTAAACTGTAATGTGAAATTAAAGGCAAATGTTTTACAAGTTGTAGAATGGACAGAGCTTTCTCTGTGGTGGGTTCGCGGTTGTGGAAAAGTTTGGTCCTTGAGATTATAATGGCACCATCACTATCTGTTTTAAATCACTCACACAAATTTACCTGTTCATGTTGTTTTTTTAATATTAATATTATAACATTTTGTCGATTGCTGTATTTTTCATATTTATTTAGTTGTTTCTCTAGGTTTGACCTCTACAGTATGCTTTTAGAATTGTCTCTATATCTTCATGTCTTATGTACAGATCGTTGGTCAGTGTCTGTTTTGAATTGTGGTTTATAAATAAATGACCATGAAAACTGTAAGATGAAGTGATATTATTTCAATATTCAGACATCAGAAAATAAAAAGGTAACTTATTAGACATAGCAAATTATGAATAACCTGAATAACCTCAAAAACTCGAAACAAAGTCTCTACACAGCAAAATTACTGATGAATATAAATTTGTATTACATGGCTCTCTAAAAAAACAGATCCTGATTGGTCAATCACAGCATTATAGAATATGTTACAGTGCTCAGCATATATAAGCACACCCCTGACCAATCTATCTTTTAAATTCATATCAATAATAGGAAGCTGTAAAATATTATATTTGTGCCAATCCATTAGATTAGTCAGTACTAAAGCCAAGTCTGGAGCTTTTCTAACAAAATAACTTACGATAACGGTCCAAAACTAGTACACCCAAATGTATATGTTACAGAAAAATATTAAATACAAATTTAAAAGAGGAAAAATCAAGAGAAGCAAGAAAAATGTAAGAAATTTAGTAAGTTGTATTTTTTTTTTTTTGCAATATTTTGCTTGAATGTAATTGTATTATCTTTCAATTTCTAAACAAGTTTGGTGACTTAAATATTATTTTAATAAATATTTAAGTTTAATAAATCCGTTTGTTAAAAATGCACCAAAATACATTGCCTATATTCACAGAGAAATGGATACAAATATTCATTTTCAAAATGGGGTGTACTCAATTATGCTGAGCACTGTGTTCCCGCAAATGATTTAACTAATAACACAAGCTGATCAGTGTACTAGGAATCATCTTGATTTCTAGTGAATATGTGTGTGAAGGTTAATGTAGGCAGCCTTTTGTTAAGGATTTTTTTTTTCTGCAACCTTTACTTTTTATTAAAAAGCTAGTGAATTATTACAGGTCAGATCAATGTTTTGTCTAATTGTTTCATTTTATGTCAAGTAGCTGTGTAATAATTAGGAAAGTGTACATCTAGCTGGTGGTTTTCACAGAATAAAGCCCTTCAGTCTTACATAAAAGCATTCCACTTAATGTTGTTATAACAAATGACTGGATGTTTATTATCCCTTTCTTTATATATTGTATAGAATACAAAGAGAAAACTATAAGCAGACACAAAATAGCTCTCTTGTGATACTACTGTAAAATACCAAGGGTTACATTATTTTTATGACAAATGCAAAAAAATAAACATATCTCTCACTCAGTTTTGCTAAGTACGGTGCTCAGCGTAAATTAACCCCATTTTAAAAATGAATATTTTTATCCATTTCTCTGTGAACATATGTAAAATTTTGGTGGATGTGAACAAAACAAATGTATATATATATATTTATATATATATATGTGTGTGTGTGTGTGTATATATTTATTTATTAAGGGTGAAGCAGTGGCGCAGTAGGTAGTGCTGTCGCCTCACAGCAAGAAGGTCGCTGGGTTGCAGGTTCAAGCCTCGGCTCAGTTGGCATTTTTGTGTGGAGTTTGCATGTTCTCCGTGTGTTTGCGTGGGTTTCCTCCGGGTGCTCTGGTTTCCCCCACAGTGCAAAGACATGCGGTACAGGTGCATTGGGTAGGCTAAATTGTCTGTAGTGTATGAGTGTGAATGTGTGTGTGGATGTTTCCCAGAGATGGGTTGAGGCTAAAAGGGCATCCGCTGCGTAAAAACTTTTCTGGATAAGTTGGCGGTTTATTCCACTGTGGCGACCCCGGATTAATAAAGGGACTAAGTTGACAAGAAAATGAATGAATGAATGAATATATTTATTAAACCAGAATTTTTTTACATTTATTACTATAATATTTTGTCAGAACATCTTCAGAAATAGAAAGACGTTTAAATTCATCCCAAAAATTACAAACTACAAAATTTCAACAAAAGTATATATATATATATTTTTTTTATATATATAATTTTGCTCCTCTTGATTTTTGCTCTTTATTACATTTTTATTTAATTTTTTTCCCTAACATATAAACTTGGACTGCTAATTTTTGGACAGTTCTCTTCAGTTATTTAGCTAGATTAGTTCTAGATTTGGCTTCAGTACTGACTAATCTAAGGTATATGCACAAATATATTATTTGCAAAGCATCCTTTAGAAAATATTGATTTAAATGAGAGATTTATGGGGTGAACTCATGTATACAGACTCAGAAATAAAGGTACAAATTCTGTTACTGGGGCGGTACCTTTTTAAAATGTACGCTTTTGTACTATACAGGTGAACACTTTGACCTGTTAAGAACAAACAAAATGTACCTTTTGAAAACCGTCCCAGTGACAGATTTTGTAGCTTTATTTCTGAGAGTATATTGTACATGGATTTTATTTGTAGTCAAGATTATTTAAAGGGATCTGTTTCAATTCTTTTGAATGAAATTTCTCTAAAGCAAAAGCAACAACCCACACTTTAAATCACAGTAGTCTGATGCAGAAAAAGGTGGATAAAAAAAGGGTTGGAATATAATTTCTTACCAAAGATCCTACTAGGTGTTTACAGAGAAGATTCTCTGTTCTGTCTATTGCTGCAGCTGCAGGTCTACAACGACCAACATTTCCTGTGATCTGATGAAAAAACACAACACAATATTAATCATTCATCAACTCTTAAAGCAGCCTGAATATACAAGAAGGCTAAATATATACCGTCTGATTTGCCCACTGGATATATGCCAGAAAGATCTTCATCTGACAGTCTACGAACACCTTGCTCTCCTGCAGAAAAGGTGATTTTTACAGGATACACCATAAACAATTTAATACAGCATTCATCCTGATGATTCTGCTTCATTTCGCCTTGGTTCTGCAATACTTACAGCTCTCACTATTTGAGATATGTTGTAGTTCAAAATTTCCTGAGCATAGCCAACATTTTGGAGAACATTCTGAACAGATGCCTGTGAAATAAATGAAGAGAAAAAACATGACTAGATACTGAAAGTCCAGTGTGTATATATATATATATATATATATATATATATATATATATATATATATATATATATATATATATGTGTGTGTGTTTTTTCCCAAACACATTTTTAACTAGGTTAATAAGGTTTACTAGGCAAGTTAGGTCAATTACGCAAGTAATGGTCAACAGTGGTTTGTAACCAATCAAGCCAGACTGATAAAATATATCATAGGAAACGCTGTGAAAAATGTTCTTGCTGTGTTAAACAGCACTTGCTAATATTACAATTAATGGAAAGGGATTTAAAATTGCACAAAATATTGTTTCTTACTGTGTATATACACTCAACGGCCACTTTATTAGGTACACCTTCCTACTACTGGGTTGGACCCTCTTTTGCCTTCAGAACTGCCTTAATCCTTTGTGGCATAGATTCAACAAGGTACTGAAAATATTTTTCAGAGATTTTGGTCCATATTGACATGATAGCATCACACAGTTGCAGCAGATTTGTCGGCTGCACATCTATGAAGCAAATCTCCTGTTCCACCACATCCCCAAGATGCTCTATTGGATTATCTAAATTGTAGCCTCAGTTTCCTTTTCTTTGCTGTCAGGGGTGGGATTTGGTGTCGTCTTCTGCTGCTGTAGCCCATCCACGTCAAGGTTGGATATGTTGTGCATTCAGATATGCTCTTCTGCATACCTTGGTTGTAATGACTGGTTATTTTAGTTACTGTTGCCTTTCTATCAGATCAAACCAGTCTGGCCATTCTCCTCTGACCTCTGGCATCAACAAGGAATTTGCACTCACAGAACTGCTGCTGACTGGATATTTTGTCTTTTTTGGACCCTAGAGATGTTTGTGCGTGTGCAGTTAGACAGGTGTACCTAATAAAGTGGCCGGTGATTGTATACAAAATGATGTATATATTATGTTATTGCATTTATCACATGATCATTTACAAATCATTTTAATATGATGATCATTTGTGATTTTCAACATTTTAGCAATATCTGTGATACAGAAAGAAACTCAATGACCCTAAAAGTGGTATATTTGAGTGAACTATAGTAAATGAAGACATTTCATTTAATCGATACTGGCTCCAATAAAAGCAATTATGGTCTTTCAATCAGATTTATTAAATACTGATGTAGAGTATTAAAACTATATACATATACACTCTGGAACACGTGATGACACAGAGTTTGCTTTACTTACATTGATTTGAGATGCAACTGCGCTGAGATTATTAATGGTGGAGTTCAGCTCCAGCTGTAAAGAGGAAAAGCATTACAATATTGTCACATTCAGATTTATTTATCTTTTTGTGCTGTTTTACACACCAGCAAAGGCATTATGTTAGATGTGATGTCAGCCTGGATGTCTCGCAGATCTTTAGCTTCCCCATGCAGTTGGTTTGAGATATTTTGATTGCTCTGAAAGACATAAATACCTGTTTGTGATTCACCTCAGGCACATTCTACAGCAGTTCAGTGTTAACAAGACTAACATTCACCTGTTTGCCAGCCAAAAAATCCAAACTGTCCGCTGCTGAGCTTAGATTAGTCCCTGACACATCATTGATCTGAAATATAACATAAAAAATCTGTAAAAATCAGATTATAACAATTTTTTATAAACAGTTGAAGTCAGAATTATTAGCCCCCCGTTAAATTATGAGCCCTGTTATTTTTCCCCAATTTCTGTTTAATGGAGAGATTTTTTCAACATATTTCTGAACATAATAGTTTTAATAACTCATTTCTAATAACTGATTTATTTTATCTTTGCCATGATGACAGTAAATAATATTTGACTAGATATTTTTCAAGACACTTCTATACAGCTTAAAGTTAGGTTAATTAGGTTAACTAGGCAGGTTAGGGTAATTAGGCAAGTTATTGTATAATTATGGTTTGTTCTGTAGACTATTGAAAAAATATATTGCTTAAAGGGGCTAATAATATTGATCTTAAAATGTTTTTTGAAAAATTTAAAACTTCTTTTCTACTAGCAGAAATAAAACAAATAAGACTTTCTCCAGAAGAAAAAATACTATCAGACATACTGTGAAAATTTCCTTGCTCTGTTAAACATCGTTTGGGAAATATGTTTTATTTTATAAATAACACAACAACAACAATAATAATAATATAGACTAAGTAAACACCCACTGGCATGATTGCATATTAATAGGACCAAAATGTCAGTGAAATAGAAGTGTGTGATGATCTTTTGTGGAGGCGAAGTTTATCCACCCTATTACATCACAGAGTAAATCATTCCAGAACCTGTGATTTTTGCAGTCTGCTTTCAGTATAAGCTGGTTTTATTTGATTTTTAGAGGAACCACAATTTTTAAAGTTCTAAAACATGCAGAATGTTTTTATAGAATAATGATCTCATATATGTCAAAAGATCAAGGAAATTTTGGTTTCTTGGGTCATGACCCCTTTAAGTTTTACAGTGCAAATTCAGTTACAACCTTTAAAGGTTCAAGACACCCTGGAGTACTTTTTTTTTCCAGATTTTAACAGAATTGTGTGTGTTGAGCATCATTTCAGACAACATTAGCACCTGTCAGCTTTAATTGTAAGAAAAACTGGATAATATTGAGCTTTTGTCAGCTAATTTCATCTTCCAGATTTAAAATAATTTTTGGGGCAAAATCAAAATCTGTGGCGAAGCGCCAATTTGCTAGTGGAAGGATGATGCATCGGTTTCTTTTTATTATTTAAGGCAAAGTTTTCTTATCCTATGAGAAGACTCTGCATCTTGATTATTCAAGAGAGTATGTGCCTTCCGAAAGCAAGGCAGACCCAATGATTGGGTGAGGCCGCGTCTGTGCACGGCAAGGGGTTGTATGTGTTTGATTTCATGATCCACAGAATTTATTGCTTGTTTTACCCCACAATTCTGTCAAGGCGGATACAGCAAAGCTGTTTGTTTGCAGCAAGCATTTTTGTCGGGAGAGCTGTACGATAATTGGAGAATGGCGGACTTTGTCTTTTATCAGTTGAGTTCGTTACCATTCAGACACATCACCAATATTCGTGCTGCTGTGGTCGTCTATGTTTAAAATCTTCAGATTACCAGCAGGGCTATTGGTTGGAATAAACAGAGCAAGAGACCTGCTTCACTGCTATCTACTGTGTCTGTATTTAGACGCGGGCATTAAGGAGAAGTGAAGTTTTCCTCATTTATATTATTTATATAAACATGATTATCTTTATAATGATAGAACAAATTGTTCATATTATGTGTATATGAAATTACGAATAACAAATGTAGCCGGACATTAAGTTACTTACTGTTTATTTATTTGCATTTCAACTTTGTAAACTATGAAATCATCGGTCTCCTCATGGTTTGTGTCTCATTTTGTGAGCCAACTGACAAAAGTTGTTCGCTCCCCTCTTTTTCCCTTACTTTGCCGGCCATGCCTACTTCTCCCTCTGGTCACAGCATTTCGCGCCCATCTCCGAGCACTTTTTGAAAAATTTCTGAGGTAGACTTGATCCAAAAGAGGGGGGTTTCATTGCCCTTTAAACCATAGGTGGCCAATCCTGTTCCTGGAGATCTACCTTCCTGCAGATTTCAGTTGCAACCCTTATCAAACACACCTGTCTGTAAATATTAAGTGGATTTCAGGTCCTAATTAATTGATTCAGGTGGGTTTGATCAGGGTAGGAGCTAAACTGTACAGGAAGGTAGATCTCCAGGAACAGGATTGAGCACCCCTGCTTTAAACAATACTACACTAAGTCTACCCAGTAGTACATTGACAGTAGTACAAAGTGTAAGTGTACGTGTATTTGGAGTGTATATGCCGGTAAAGCGAGTGTATGTTATTGATTACCTAAATTTCTTTCAGGATAAATAAAGTATCAAACTAATCTAAACAAAAATCCATAGAAAAATATCACTTTATAAATCGCATTGTACACAAATCAAAGCATCTAAATATTGACATGTTATCTAAACACAAGCGTTTACATGACACCCATTTCAATGCATGTTAATACCAGGTAGAAATTTGAGGAAACAAGTGTAAAGCGTACATGCTGAATAATGGTGCTGAAGTTCATAGTGCTGGCACTGTTAGAGAAGTTGTTGAGCTGGGACTTTATATCCGGACTGAGAATGGTGATGTTTGCTATGTTGATTTGCGCTGCCTCAAAGCTCTGATAAATCTCCTGCGTGTACTGTTGACAGAATCATACATTTAGCATCTAATCTGTCATGCATTAGCATATAGAAAAGTAAAGTATGTGTGATAACTTCTCACATTTGAAACATTTAAGTACTTATTTAGGTCGACGAGCTCATTTAGATGAAGTGTAGTCCACAAGGGTGCGTTCTGTTCACAATTGCTAGAAAACAAGATGCATCAACATCAGATAAATAAGGCAATTTTGCCAGTCATCAGTCATCCTGCCTTGCATGACCTACCTGTAGATATCATAAATGTTCAGGCTTATTTTCAAATTCAAATTCTTGGACAGGTTGAACCCTGGAATCATTCCTGGAGTGTCAATAATCTGTGAAAAACAATTTGATTACCAAATATTCTCACACTGTCATTGCAATCTACCAGGGACATGTCAAAGTCATGTGAACAAACATAATGATTTAGCTGTTAGAAGTACCTGAATGAGTTGTTTGCTCTGCCATGGTACACAAACCAGGGTGTAGGTATTACCAACCACAATGAAAAGTATCAACACCACTAACATGAAGATCCAGGAGATCAGGAAACTGAAGCCTACGCCTCTAAAATGACATATCAGAAAGAACAGCAATGGAATAAATACACAATAACACATACACAATAACATATACACATAAAATTACCTATATAATTAAAACTGACTAAATAGCTTGCACTAAATAGAATGTACTATTACTGTAATATACTAAAATAACTAGAGCTCTCTAAAAAAACTTTCTTTTTGCACCCGCTATGATTGAAAAGCATTATCAGTGGTTATCAGCTGATAGATATGGGCCAGTAGGGGCCTTCCGTGCCTACGGGTATCATCCATCCACGTGGTTAATGAGCTATACTAATAAAGAAGACTCCAGATCCAGATCTGTTTTACATTACTAGGATGGTTGGGTTTAGGGTTGAAGTAGACGTTAATAAACTACAATTAATGGGAAATTTGATAAATAATCTAAATAATTCTAGTAAACTTGTGGATGGATGATAACAGCCTTCTGAGCCTACTAGTAGGTGCAAAAGGCCCTTACTGGCCCATATCAATCAGCTAATAACCACTAATAAACGTCCATCCAGTGATAAGATTCGAATCGGCTGTATTTTTGCATATATTTTAGGATATTATTATTTATTTTTAGGCAGCACAATGCCGATATGTTAACTTCAGGAGAAGTGTTTAATAGACGTCTAATAGACATCTAAACGTAGACAGCTTGGCTAAAACAAGGCAAAACTTGGGCTGTCGGTTAAAATCTAATAGACATCTAAGAATAGGCCAAAACTAGACAAGTCGTCACACAGATTAGACAGACATTATATGTGTAATCATTCCATTCTGTTTATTTGATGACAAGTCTAGTTTTGGCCTATTGTTAGACATTAATTCGATTTTCATAGACAGCTCCAATTTATCCCTGTTTTAGCCAAGAGGACTAAATTTAGACGTCTATTAGACATCTACATATTTTCAAAACATAGACATATTTTAAAATGCTTGCTGGGCTGAAGCTAGTAAAAATGTAAACAGAAAAAAATTATACATACACGTACAGTTGAAGAAAGAATTATTAGCCCCCCTGAATTATTAAACCGCTAGTTTATTTTTTCCCCAATTTAACGGAGAGAAGATTTTTCCAACACATTTCTAAACATAATAATTTTAATAACTCATTTCTAATAATGGATTTATTTTATCTTTGCCATGATGACAGTAAATAATATTTGACTAGATATTTTTCAAGACACTTCTATGCAGCTTAAAGTGACATTTAAAGGCTTAACTAAATTAATAAGTTTAACTAGGCACGTTAGGGTAATTAGGCAAGTTACTGTATAACAGTGGTTTGTTCTGTAGACTATCAAGAAAAAAAATAGCTTAAAGGGGCTAATAATTTTATCCCTTAAATGGTGTTTAAAAAAATTAAAATTGCTTTTATTCTAGCCGATATAAAACAAATAAGACTTTCTCCAGACGAAAAAATATTATCAGATACACTGTGAAAATGTCCTTGCTCTGTTAAACATCATTTAGAAAATATTTAAAAAAGAAGAAAATAATTCGAAGGGGGCTAATAATTCTAACTTCAACTGTATGTATAAACTACAAAAAGATGAACCTATGGATTTCTGTTATAAATGCAAAGTTGAGAGAATCTGACACTCACACCATCAAGAATACTCCACCACAGTTGGACGTGCCGGAGCGATCAGTTGGACTTTGTTTAGCATTTAATCCAACTGCACCCAACAGCAGGCCCAGAAAATTACAGACCACCACCAGCAAAATCAGACAGCTCAGGATCAGTCCAATAGCCCGGCTACACACAAAACAAACACAAAACATGCTTGTGTCACACTTTATATAAATGAATGAATAAATATTATGTTTTAACAGCATTAAAAGTATAATGTATTTTAATAAATATATAGTACAGAAGTAGGATCAGGGGATTTGTGAAGTACCTAATTAGACTTGCTCTCTCTACCTCTGGAGAATACACTGACACAGACTGCTGTAAGGTGGATATTTCTTTTGGGATAGTCTTCAAAAAGTCAAGAGGAAGGTCTTTGGACACACCTGAAATCTGGCCCTTTATGTCGTTAAGCTTCGAAAGAGCCGCTTTTAAGGACAAAGAGACAAAAAATCACTTTAACATCAAAACAGATTACCACATACAAGTACATTACACATGAACACATATGTAAGTTAGATGGGGTTAAGTCAAATAACACAAACTTACACTCCACACTTCCTTGGGTCTCATTTTTCACCTTTTGTGGAATACTGTCAAAGAAGTCTCTGCCCTGGAATGCAAGCATTGTTAGATACTGAAGTATATATTTGAGTTCACTAGTTTGAAGTCACTACATTTTTACTATATTTCAAACAGTTGCTGTTCTTTCAGATTTTCTATTCATTAAAAGCAAAATTACTTTATTTGACAAAAAATATTAGAAAATGAATTTCTAAGGATAAAGTCAGGGTGATGATTGGTGTTACGATGCTGACGATCATAGGAATTTCAGAAATAAATAATAAAATAATTTTGATCAGTTTTTTGTCATATTATTTAAACAAATAAATACATCTTGCTGAAACTTCTTTTAAAATTTACCAAAAATTTAAAAGAGGCACTAACCTTATTTGCCTGTCCGATGACATCAGCATTTCTAGCCTTGTCTACGGCAGAACTCAGGTCATTTTGATCTGAAAACTACATGAGAAATACATCCAATGATCAAGAGGTTGTTTCATCAAATAATATTGTCAAATAAATAACAGGAGAAAAAGAAAAGTCATGATTTCAGATTTGGAATGTCCCCATAAGCTTTCATAACATCAGCACTCAAGCAAGACTGAACTTTCCACACTAAAGTCAAAAAGATCAAATCAAATAAGCAGTTTTCATGTGATCTCAGCATGTGAGCTTTTATGAGGCAACCAGACACAGACAGGGCCATCGGCAGCAGCGGGAGGATTTTTGGTGGCCTGGCAACTCATTTGGCCTGCTGGCATTTCATTATAATATTTTATAATATTGCCCACACACCTTACTAAAATGATCCAGCATTTGACTGAATAAAAAATTATAATAATAAATAGAGAAAAAGCAACATTAATCTAAACCTGTTAGACTTGACTTGTCAGTATTACACTTTTCTTTGATTAACATTCTTTCCGCAACTCCGACAAAGTGGTTTAACAGCATGCAAGATCGGAGAGAAAGTGGCCAGGTGGAATGAAAAGGGAAAGCGCATGTAAAAAGAAAGCACCTCGAATGTTGCAACATTTCCATTCTGATCAAGGCTTCAATTTCAGGTCAGTTGCATCGGTAATACTGCCGTTTTTTCTTTGCAAGCGTTGTAAAGCTAGCAAATATTAGCAGTAGCACCCCTATCATCATTTAAAATACTGTACATTGATATTTTTTGTAAAGCTAAATAAGTATTTTAGCTGACAAACATTCACACTTCTTTTTAATAGGAAAGAAGGCAGCAGGAGGCATCAGCTATAGTGCAAACATGAACAAATATGTGTAAAAAAAAATGATTTGTCTGCTAAAATGTTTATTTAACTTTACATATACTCATTTAACTTTATATATACTGCTCAAAAAATACAGGGAACAGTTAAACAACACAATGTAACCCTAAGTGTTTTTTTATCCATATATATACAGTACTATCATTGTCATTCTGTTTGTTTTTGAGGATTAAAGGATCATTTTCCTTTTTCAAATTAAGATGGTTGCTTTGTGCCAAGGTGGAAACTAGACCTTGAAGAATGACTGGGACACAATTCTTTACTCAGTCTATGATTCTTATGATCCTTTTGGAAGGGAGAGGCAGAAAGATATTAAGAAAATTGAAGAAAAGGAAAAGGGAGAGTACCTTTAAAGCAGAGAAAGCCTTTAATTCATAGGTCTTAAACTCGATTCCTGGAGGGCCCCAGCTCTGCATAGTTTTGCTCCAACCCTAATCAAACATCGCTGATCCAACTAATCAAGGTGTTCAAGACTACTAGGAACAATTAGGCAGGTGTCAGTTGGAGGTGGTTGGAGCTAAACAATGCAGAGGTGCGGCCCTCCAGGAATTGAGTTTGAGACCATTGCTTTAACTATTTTGCACGATCAAAACTTTATTAGATCTAATTTTTGACTACCATGATGCAGAGTAAGGCCAAAACAACCCTTACTAACTTATTCAGCAAAGACAGAATGAATAAAAAAAATGTTTGGCAAACTGTAAAGAATAACACTCTTTATTCTTTTCCATTTGTCATTTGCCAAACCCACAGCCGGTATTAGTTCATTTATCAAATGATGGTCTTGGTGAGAGTGGGATTTCCTGGTGTAAAATTGTGTCTCAGTTCAGCCCGGAGGCAGATTGGTTTTGTTTCTCTCTTCTCTCTTGTTTCTTTCTTCTAAACAGGACAAAATTGAACCAGGAAACTTTCTCAGACGACCAGACCAAAATAACCTATTTATCTAAGTTAAGGTCAAATCAGCATTTTATTTTTCATTCATTCATTCATTCATTTTCCTTCAGCTCAGTCCCTGATCAGAGGTCACCACACAGAATGAACCGCTAACTATTCCAGCAAATGTTTTATGCAGTGGATGTTCTTCCAGCCACAACTCAGTACTGGGAAACACCCATACATTCTCACATTCTCACACATTCATACACTACGGCCAATTTAGTTCATCCAATTCACCAATAGCACGTCTTTGGACTGTGGTGGAAACTGGTGCACCCAGAGGAAACCCACACGAACACTGGGAGAACATGCAAATTCCACACAGAAACGTCAACTCTCCCTGCAGGGACTTGAACCAGCGATCTTCTTGCTGTTAGGCGACAGTGCTAACCATTGAGCCACCGTGGCCCCATTTTATTTTTAATGAGCAATATTTTCTAGGAAACTACCAGAAACTTCCTGATAAAAGGCGTAGTTTTATGGTTTTAGTTTTAGCTTTATTCCTGGAAGGAATAATTTATTTCCATTTATTAAACATATTTATATTTATTATATATGTATTTTTCTTTAAATTAAACAACATGTATGATAAAATATTTTAAAAGTACTGTCAATAAATCTTGAGTTAAACATTATAATGAATAAAAAAAACATACATTTTAAATCATTTGTTTAAATGTATTCTCAAATAGTTTCATCCAGAGCCCCTCATTTAACACTAGAGGGCAGAACATCTTGTTCCTAAATGCTTTTCTTTCCTGACAGCCATAATCACAATGACAGTGGCACATTTGTATTTATTTCTACAACAGAAAGCCTATATTTCAGGAATTACTCTCGACCGGGTAAGATTTCAGTTTCTAAGAGAAACAGAGAGTGCCAACTTGCATACAATAACTTCTTAAGTTACTCTTTATTGTTTGCGCCATTGTTGTGTGTTCCCGTTTCCCTTAAATGAGAGCGTTTGTGCACACAAATGACTGGTAATGCAATTTAGTCCACCTACTTCAACAGAAACACTGTATATCATGTAATTTAAGCCAAAACCTTGTTCTAAGGGTTTTAATTGCAGTACATTTGTAGACAGGAAAAGGAGAGTTATTATTTGTTATGAACGCTCAACTACAACAAAGCTTAATATGGAGTCAATATATAACCAGCAAATAATCGGCACACGCTTCAGGGATTTTCCTGAGAGCTCTGGTTAAAAACTTACTTCAAGACTTCCTTCCAGTGATAGTTTGTCCACTACTTGCTGGAGGGAAGAGCAGTTCATACATTCTGGCTGATTCATAGTGTTGTTAATCCGCTGCCTCACTGCTGAAAAATTAGTTTTCAGAGCATCAATCTTGGGTTTCAGTTGCCCCAAGGTTTCATTGACATGCAGGAGTCCAGTGCTGGTGCTGTTTATCACTAAAACAGATAAGATACGCATCATTAGTTGTGGGCAATATGGGCAAAAAACATTTTCATATCAGCCGATAATGAGAATTATCATAAACAAATGTCAAATCTCTATTTCTTTCAAGTTTAAATGCATATGTTTGTTCTGAGTGAAACCAAAAAGTTAATTGTTAACTGCTTTTTATTGTCAAAGCTAAAGGTCCATCAGATCACAAATCTGAGGTAATTATATAAATATAAATGTAATATATTTCTAAAACTTGTTTTGATCACTAAAGTCAAATCTTTTTCCAACATTTTATCTTAACAAAACAAAATATCTTAATGAATATTAGTTAGGGCTGGGCGAAATGGCAAAAATGCAATCTCAATAATTCTTTTTTACACACTGAAAGACAATGATATATATATATACATATATATATATATATATATATATATATATATATATATATATATATATATATATATATATATATATATATATATATATTTATTTCGATATAAGTTGTTAAGGCTTCCAGCTTTGAAAGAGTATCGTGACAATGACTGAAGCCACAAAGATTTGACACTTCATTATATAACATTTTAAAGTACTGTTTATTAACAAAAAGAGTTTACACATTACTCTGATCTTTTGCAAATTAGGATTTTTTCCCAATATATTTATGATATACAATAAAAAACATAATATTCCAGCCTGATCTCACGAGAAAACATGAGTATTATAAGTTTTGTCAGTTTAGTGACTAATTCGTATGAAGTAGTACGAGTTTAGTCATACGAAATTGTACGATTTTAAAAAGGAGGCATGGCACCCAACCCCACCCCTAAACCCAACTGTCATTGGGTGATAAGTAAATCGTACTAAATTGTACAAATTAAATTGTATGAATTCATACAAATTAGCCACTAAATCAAAAGGTTACGAATTGCTGTGAGATTGCGTTGAATATTCTGAAGAACTGTCATTGGCAGCTTTTATACAGTACACAAGTAAAATTATACTTGCATTTTCTACAAATAAGCAATTACACAATTATTTTAAAATAATTGTTTTACTCAAATAAAATGGTAAAAATATTAATAATTAAAATAAACAATAGTTTTGAATTAAGCAATATTGGGTGCCGTAGCATATCTTTGATATCAACAGAATTATTGATTCCTGTTATTGCATATGCTGTGTGATTGGCTCCTAAATCAATATAGAGTAAAAATGTCCAGAGCTTATCATCATTATCGTAATTTTATCACGATTCGATATGATATCAGTTATCGGCCCAGCCCTACTGCACAATATTGTAAAAAACGTACATTACAACATTTTTTGTCCGTGATATAGTTGAAGTCAGAATTATTACCCCCCCCCCCCCCCCCACCCCCAATTATAAGGCCTCCTCTTGACTTTTTTTCCCAATTTCTTTTTAACAGAGACAAGATTTTTTTCAACACATCTCTAAACATGATAGTTTTAATAACTCATTTATAATAACTGATTTATTTTATCTTTGCCATGATGAGAGTAAGTAATATTTAGCTAAATATGTTTCAAGACAATACAGTTTAAAATGACATTTAAAGGCTTAACTAGGTTAATAGGATAACTACGCAGGTTAGGGCAAGTTATTGTATAATGTTGTATTGTATAATTGTATAATGGTTTGTTCTGTAAACTATCGAAAAAATATATAGTTTAAAGGGGCTAATAATTTTGACAGTCATATTATTAACTAATGTGAAAATGTTCATCTGATTTATTTACAATATAGTTTGTACAGTACTATTTTCTATCTTTTACTAGATACATGATATGAGAGACTTGCTATATTTACCAAATAAGTGAATCTAATTGGAAATTTAATTTTAAACATTAAATAAAAGTCAAAAATGTATTATTTGTTATTTCATATATTAAGGTTTTAGTTATGATACTCACAAAATAATTCAGCAGATTAAGCAAAATTATTTTTGCTTTACCAATATTATTTAGAAGAACATTACAAATTCTATTCTAAAACATAAAATCACTTACAAAAGCTAACACATATTCTAATCTCATATATAAATCATACAAATAAATAAATAAATAATGAGGCTATTTATTATAAAATGAAATTTAATATTAATTTTAATTAGGAAATAAAAAAATCCTACTTTAATAATAATATTAATAATATTAATGATGATGAAGATTATTATTATAATTTGTATTATTATTAAAAAGGATATTGTTTAATTATTTAAAAAAAAATTTAAGTCTACTTTTACAATTTGACACATGCAAACCACAGCAGAAAGTTCAAACCAACAGACCCATGTCATATACTACATAGATACTTAATAAATAACCCACAATAACATAATGTAACGTAACATATGCTATGTTTTTTGTTTTCACAAGCTTTGAAGACGTAACATATATTCCGCATTTTAAATAATAGGTCACCTATAGCTTTTGCCATAAGGCTATGTTCAAAATGACATCAATGTTTTCAAAGTGCACTGCGAAGGGAACACATTTGTAAACATGAAGATTGCTGAAACTGAACTTTTAAAATAGTTTGAAAGCAAATTACACCTAAGTGGGATGACCTTAATGCTTTTTTTATTTTTAATAGTTCCAACTTTGAATGTTAGAGTGTTCTAAATAAATAGGCAATAGGGGGATAAGTGGGAATAAAACACAGCCAGGAACTATGCTTCTAACTACAGCTCCAGAGGTGTAGTTGCAAGTGCTCAAGTTTGCGACTCAGTTTGCAAATGTTCATTGGAACAATGGATTTGGGAAACGACAAATCAACTAACTATGTTTGAAACAACGGAACTTGCGACCTTAGTTAGCTAACAATGGTTTTGGGAAACGCACCCCTGGTTAGAGTAATAAGGCAAGATATTGTATAACGATTGTTTGTTCTGTAGACTATCAAAAGAATATATAGCTTAAAGGGGCTATTAATTTTGACCTTAAAATGGTTTTTAAAAAATTTAAAACTGATTTTATTCTAGCTCATAAAAAAACAAATAAGCCCTTGCTCTGTTAAACATCATTTGGAAAATATATAATAAATTTAAAAATCAAAGGTTGGCTAATAATTCTGACTTCAACTGTATTTCTCCCAATCCTGCCACAAAGCCAATGTGCAGTTAATGGTACTTTAGTAAATCTATGAAATAGTGGATCTTTCATGGCACAGTGTTTCTTGTGTTTTATTCAAATCACAGAGACATTTGTGTTATTCATTAAACTAAACAAGCCAGTGATTGATTCGAGACCCATCTGCATGTAAGCAAACCAAAACTGCAGTTGGGATGATATGCGTGATTGGATAAACGATACGTGTGGCACAAATAAGCAATGCTGTTAAGTTCCAGCCTGAGGCATACACATAAAATTAAACATTTACTGCATTCGTTATCATTTTGTTGAGGAGAAATTATATTGCAAATTTTATCTCCCTGTGCTATACATGATATATTTTAACATAGTGCGTATTTTAAAATGAATGTTTTCAGTAATGCATAATATGTTGATGTGTATTTGCATACTGTACATACCTTGTGCTATTTGAGTAATAGAGTTGAATGCTGGGTTGAGGGAATCTTTAAGGCCATTTTGGATCAATCCACCAAGCAAAGGTCCTGTTTCTACAAATAAAGATATTCAATATGATATATGTATGAACTTTAACAACCAATTTTGAAAACTAAAACCAGTCATGAGTGTTCATTTTTTTAACTGACTTACACGTCGCCTGATAACACAGAAAAAAACTTTACATTGATGCATACTTTGTTGGGATATGCAATATTTGGCCAAATATTTAAATATAAACCTTTAAATATGTCCAAATAAAGTTCTTATATAGGACATTCTTACACATTACTTATCAAAAACTGTTTTGATATATTTAAAGTAAAACATTTACATCATATCTTCATGGGACATAATCTTAATAATCAAATAATTTTTGCCATCAAAAGAAAAATATATAATTTTGAGCCATCCAATGTATTTTTGGCTATTCGCAGAAATTTACCATTACAACATGAGACTGGTTTTGTGCTCCAGGGTCACATATTATTTTACAAATAATTAAATATTTAATATTTAGCCATTACATTTAGAATTTGAGTCCAGTTTCTGTCTCTTTTAATGGTATTTTTATAGCCCTAAGCCCCTATTCATTTATGACTTTAAGAGATAAGGGACGTACTGTACCATTTAAATTGTTTTTGACTTGATCCACCGTCAAAAAGCTCTCATCCAACACTTGTTGTATTTGCTGTTGAGGAATAAAACATTATGAATCAGCTACATTTAGTTCAGTCCTGTATGATTGTTTTTATTTAGTTTTCATTTTAATTCTTTGTCAAAGTTTTAGGAACTTGGTTTTCATGTTGTTAACCCTTGTGCACTGTTCAAATTTACAACTCTTTTGTTATGTCAGGGATAAAAATATTTGCTGAATTTAACTGCTGTAGAAATTCATCAGATTTTTTTTTTTTTTTTTGCAGAAGTCTGTTAATCAACCTCAGTCCTGATCAAAAATTACTATTTTTTATTTATTTTTAATTTAGAGGATTTTAACTCTAATTGATAAGTTCACAAATGATGTCACTGATTTGGTATAAAAAAATAAAAAATAAAAACTTTTTTTTTTTTTTTACATATAAAATTACATATTTTCAATGGGAAATGTCTGTCAAATGGATTAAAATAAGATTTATCACCAAACATCCTTCTGCTAACTAAAACACAGAAAAAGTTATGGCCAAATAAGGACTCAAAAACACCCCAAAGTGGATGAAAACATCCCCAACAGTACATAAGGGTTAAAAAACAGTTTGAGTTATATTCATTTAAAACTAATAAAAAATTGCTTTTTTATTTTCATTGATATTTAGCTAAAGGGAAGTAAGTTAAAGTTTTAGTTTTTTGATTGTAGATTTAGTTGTAACTGGATATGACTCCTAAATGTACATGGTTTTAAATATATATACGCACACATACATTTTCAAGTTTCTTTTTTCTGCTCAACCTAAACAATATATTCTGAAGAAAGCTAAAAAAATTGTAACTATTCTAATAGTATAATACTAGCATAATATTCTAACACTTCTAATTGTAGTTAAAACAAATACAATGAAAGTCAATGGTTACCGGTTTCTAGCTTTCTACAGAACATGTTTGTGTTCAACAGAAGCTCAAACAGGTTTTTGACAAGTGAAGTGTGAAAAAATGATGACAGAATTTTTAGTTTTGTACAAACTAACTCTTTAAATCTTTTTAATGAAGAAAAATCACATTTTATTTGATTAATTTGCTAATAAATATTATTATAAAAATGTAAAAATTTAGTTTAATAATTGTAGAATACAATGTATCACTAATTATGATAATAACCATTTATTATTCATCAGATGTTACAAAACCAATATGGTGCGGGTAAATATTAACTTCGATATAAATTGCCCGGGGAGTAAGTTAGTTAGTTATTAATCATCAAAATAATTTACGAAAGATCTTTTAAATTATCCTGAATTATTTGAATCAAGTAATTATGCTGAATATTCTAATTTGTCATTATATAGGAAAAAAATTACATTTAAAAAAAGAACTTGAAATATATTTTAAAAATACATTTTTAGAAGTCATTTTGAATTGTAGCAATATTTCAAAATGTTACCATTTTACTGTATTTTTGATCAATTAAATGCTGTCTTGTTGAACATAAAAGACTTGTGTACCTGAGGAATAGAACTAACATATCCTTTGACATCATCTAAGATGCCTGTGATTTCATTGGAGCTGCTCTTCACAGTCTCTGAGGTGTATGTAGTGCTCAGGAACATGCAAATATTCCCTGCCCTGCACAGCAATTCATATTATAGATTACAGATGACACATGCAAGCATATAAATGTTACAAACATCTTATTAAGAGCCTTGTTAAGCTGGTGCTCACAGAATAAGTACAGTGATGATAAATGTGGAGCAGTAAATGCTTCTTCGCTTGCAGTTTGTGCTGGATGTCTGTTTTTGTTGCATACGGCCCCCGCAATTACCACAGCAACGACAGCAGGCGAAGATTAGGCCAATTAGAGGCATCAGGACAATGTAGAGGATCCCAATGGCCACGCAAACCAGAAAACCTTTCTCGTAATTTAAAACCTAGCCATAAAGAGAAAGAGGTTGAACAGGTTGGTTACTATGGGTATATATATAAACTGCTTGACCAAAATTTTTAATTTGTTGTTACTACGCTTGTTGCTATTTTACTCAACCACCCAAGATGTAGTGATTTATTCTTCCTCAGTGGAATATTAAAGACTTATTAACTTAATTAGTCGAAAAAATATATACAGAAAAATCAAACCTAATACTTGTGGCTTCTCATGATATACTGAGGTCTTATGGAGCAAAACGATTGCTCTCTGCAAGAAACTGAACATTGTTTACATTAATATTACCATTAATCCATCTGCAACCTATGTAAAACTGTTGTAAACAAACTGTGACAGCTTAAATGTGAGTTTACGTCCACGCATACGTCAGTATGCAACAGGAAGATAGCACTCCAGATTTACATAAAGGTGTCATGTTGTAAATAGGTAAATATCCCAGTGCAATACTACTGTATAAATGGTGGAGTCTTTGAAGAGAGTTCTCTGAAGGGTGTAGGACACGACCATGATATGCTCCCTTCATTAACTGACTTTAAAAGAGATGTATGTTTACACTCATTATAAATGTCTCTGCAAATGGTGTCCCCTTCCCAAAGTGCACTTCTCAGGCAGGGGCGCATGTTGTTTTATTTTATTGTGCCAAAGCTGGTATTGATCACCAAGTACCACACTTTTTTAAAAAATAGTCTTCTGAAGAAAAAAAGTTCCTCTACATCTTGGATGACCTGCCTTCAGTGTGGGAAAATTAAACAGCAAGTTTTCATTTTGGAATATTAAAGACTTGTTAACTTTGTTACTCTAAAAAAATACAGATGAATCAAACCTAATACTTGTGGTTGATAAGGATTTACTGAGGTCTTACAAAGCAAAACGATCGCTCTCTGCAAGAAACTAAACACTATTTACATTAATATTACCATTAATCCATCTGCAACCTACATGTAAAACTCGTAAACAAACTATGACAGCTTAAATGTTAGTTTAGGTCCACGCAAACGTCAGTATGCAACAGAAAGCTAGCACTCCAGATTTACATAAAGGTGTCATGTTGTAAATAATCTTCAGTTTCTTGCAAAAACCTTTCTCCTCAGGTCAACAGGTATTCATTTTGGGAAAATTTCCAAAAGGAAGTAAACATCCTAGTGCCTTACTACTGTATGAACAGTGAAGTCTTTGAAATGAGTTGGGTGTAGGCTCCCTTCATTAACTTACTTTAAAAAGGATTCATGTGTTTACATTGTCCCTACAAATGTTGTCCCCTTCCCAAAGTGCACTTCACAGGCAGGGGTGCAGGTTTGTTTTGTTTTATTGTCTCAAAGTGACTGGTATTGATCACCAAGCACCACACTTTTTAATAATCTTCGGAAGAAAAACGTTCCTCTACATCTTGGATGGCCTGCCTCGAGGGTAATAAAATTAAAACAGCAATTTTTCATTTTGGGATGTACAATCCCTTTAGCTATCGAAAAAAATGCAATGGCTTTACAAACAATATTTGTACATGATAATGCGATCATGTGCTCTGTGTACCCAAAACATGTTTTTGTGTGTTGTGTTCAAATTAGTCATCATAACTGGCAAATAGAGAGTGTTTACACAACAAAACATTACTGTTGACATCATTTACTCATGGTAAAAAGAATCCTGAGAAACTTGACCCAGTGCATATGAGAAAAGAGTTAGCTATTGAGTTTTTTATAGTAACATAAAAAAAACTGATTGTACTTTAGTCAGTCTTTTTGGACCCCCACTAAATATTTTGGTGTTACATATTACTAATGCTTTCGAACTTACATTGTTATCCAGGCAGTGCATTCTTTTGTTGTGGAATCAAAATTCTCCGCCATTCTTTGAATGAAAGGCTCCTGAGATCAGAAACTCACTCATAGTTTTGTTCTGAATAATTATTCTATAGTTAGCTAATCTAAGTAGTAAATTGTCATTATGATGTTGGTTTAAATTTCTCGCTATACAATGTGAAAGCCCATTTATACATACTTTATATTTTTATACGTTCAATACATGGGTCATAATGGATCCTTACATACTGTTATACATTACTGACATTCTGTATCATGTATAGGTAAGTGTTGTGTTTTTATGTACTTCTTTTCATGTTAGTTATTCATTTAATTAATAAAATGTTATTATTATTTAATAATTTTGTATTTTTATTAAACGTTTGGTAACACTTTACAAAGAGGTTGTATTACTTAAAGTTAGTTAATGCATTTACTAACACAAATTAACAATGAACAATGCATTTATTACAGTATTTGTTCATGTTAGTTAATGAAAATCCAGTTTTCATTGTTAATTCATGTTACATTAACTCATGGTACATTAACTGTTAACAAGCATGACTTCAATAGATGTCAATAATACATCAATCTACGTTGGTCTATGATTAATAAATGGTGTACAAGAATTGTTCATACTTAGTTCATGTTATTAAATGCATTATCTATGAAACCTTCTTGTAAAGTGTGAACAAACCTATTTTGTTCTTTTTAGGATATCATATTTTTTCCATATTTATAAAATGACCATAATTCTATGCATATAAAGTCACGTTTATTTGATGTAGACACCAAAATGGGATGTCTCATATCTGACGCATATATTTCTACACTGTGTTGCTATCATGACGCAGTGTTTTCAGAATCTATATCAAAATGTGGGGACTTTTCCACCATCTATTTATATCTGAATGGGAATGCAGTTATACAAAATAAAACAGCTGTTTGGCTGACTACCTTTAAGAAAAAGTCTGAAGAATCATCATATTCTACATTGCAAAGCAAAACATCTATTGCATAAACTAAGGTGCTCTTTATGATCATTCTGTTCATGCAGTTGCGTGCCTTTTTACATACCTCTTTAACCATCTCCGTTTGCGTGTTTGAATTAAAGTTGTTTATCATTCTGACCAGCAGATCTACAGAGAAATGTGTCAAACATTGTAAATATCTTTTTAATATTCATTTACGCAACACAGTGATGAATTGGCCAAGATCAAAGCTCTCCTCTCTACAGTATAACATCATTTTTCATTCATTTCTTTAAATGGCCATTGATGTCAGCTACAAAAAAAAAAAACTATAGGTAGAAAGAAAAGACTTTTGAAGACAATAAAAACTGATGGAAATGATGAATTGAAATGCGTCAATGTACATGGAACAAACTTTCAGTGTTGTTTCTTGGGAATAAGATCTCATTTATCAAGGTTATCTGCTTCATTCTACTGCCAGATTAAAAAGTAACCGTCTGATGACTAGATGTATATCTAATACTGTATGTTTGATCCTGTAATTACACATCAGAGACATTGTTAAAATTTTACAAACAGTTCTGAACTTCATGAGGTCATGCAATAAAAAGTACTTCTATTTCAGCATGCAATGCAGGTAATAATTAACTTAAAGTTTGTCTTTTCGTTTGTGATCCACACAACTGCAACCATAGAGACTATATACATACACACAGTACAAAACAACAATATTTTTGTGGTAAACAAAACTCTAAAAAGGGGGAATGGAGATCATTCAAATCTCAAATGACATTTACATGGTCATTTGCACAGTGGTTTTACTTCTGACAATTAACTGAGCACATTTATGCCACCTGAATGAGCTCCATAACCATGTGCATAACAAATCCAGTCTTCTGGAGCTCATTACCATCAGTATAACCTTCTCTAATGAGTTTAATGTAGCCATTACACTTACAGTACATCAGATCTGATTCTTCTCTGCCAAACACATCATACTGTTAGGGAAGGCTAAACTACCAAACTATTAATCACACACAGCTATACAAGCATTTTCTGTTTGTACGCCTTTGCCAAACACACCAAAACTGCATCACAAAACACTCACCTTTAGGGAATGGATTGGGCTGGACAAGTCCCAGGAATGAATGTACGATTGGAGTCATAAAGGCACTGTTGAGGGTCAGCTGGGACTGTGTTTCATTTGGAGTTTGTAGCTCTGGTCTCATCTTCTCTACAAGACAGGACTGTTGTCCACTTGCACATGTCCGGAGTACCAGGAGCAAAACGCCACTCCAAGAAACTGCTTTCGTTCTGGACTTCATGTTTGTGGGTTTTTAGGTCATGACTCGATTATACGAACATCAGACATCACCTATGACATGATGATAAATGTCTATTTAACACTTCTTCAGAGGATGGAGTCACCATAAGCATGACTATTGTCTCATAATTACAGCAATTTCGTATTGAAGAGAAAAGGGAACTGTGTGGCGGCCAGTCACTTACATCGTAAAATATATCCTCCTTTCTAAAACAAATACACTGTCAGGAACGAAAATACTTTTATACAAATTTTCACATTTATTTTTAGTTGCATACAATCCATCCAAAACTCTTCTGTTCTGCAATTTCTTAATTACTGATACAAACAAGCTCGTTTTCTTGGCTGCGTGTGAGAACATTTTAAATAAACAGGTTGAATTAATATTGAACGGATCAACCTAAAACTAACTGTTAATAAAAAGTAACCTGAGAACTAAGAATAGAGGAACGTGTACAGTATGAGCACCTACACACTTCATGGAAACACACAAATAGTACCTGTTTTAGCCGTAAGGTCCTCCGGGAATTATTGAGCGTGTTCCAGTTAATTCAGGTCAGATGAGTTTGTTTAGTCCGCTCCAATGTCCTTCTCCCTCTGACAGAAACTGTTGTCAAGACTGAATTTAGCCGCACGGAGTAAAGAAGAATAAAATGGGAGGGATCGGAAAGGGGGAGGCTCGGGGAAGGATTTTAAACAGTTTTTTTTAAACTTGTTTAATATCTAATGGTGAAGTTTTTGTTGTGGTTATTGATTCGGTTTGTATTATAAATATGTTACATTTACAGAGAGTCATCAAAGACTAACCTATTAGCCTACTAACCAATGTTTATGACAAATGTTAACATGACTTATGGAGGGGCGGGATAGATGGAAACTAGATGCAAGAATTTACTCCAAAACCATCATTTACACAACATTATAAATGTAATGGAATAAATCGCACTAAATTGGGATTTTTTTAAATGTGCACTATAAAGAAAATCTAGGTATACCTAGCCATAGTCGAATGATAAAGAGTTCACGATGTAAATGGACCTGAGTCTCCAACACCACTGTTTCCTCGTTCCCATGTTGGCCTACATTTCGTAAATGTAAAACAAAGTGAAAAACAGGCCTGTCTGAACAGACTTCTTCTGATGATGGTATGTGCGGTTCTCATTGGCATGTAACAACAACTCGTCAGTTTGGCAGCCAAAACACAAGCTCATTTTTAAGTTTATCTCAACCAAAGCTCATCCAAGACTAAAGCATTATCTATATGGATGGGGGAATCCTCAAATCTCAAAAACTGCCCGCTGACCTCGCAATTAAATTACACTGAAGTGACCCGTCCCATTCCATAACAATTTTCAGTTTGCTCCAGCTACAACACGTGCACACTTATTTGTCTGACATGTTTCAATGCATTTAAAACACTAGCATAAAAGGAACAAACGACAACACAATACATATGTTGGTCTATTTTGTTGAATATAATTATAATAGCCTATATTTTATTTACAACTTAAGATCAAAATAGGAATGTCCTTGTGATTTATATTAGATAGCATCTACTCCATTTTCTTACATTTTTTAAATAAATTAAGTATGATTATTTTGCATGTTTATGTTATTGAGTGCATTATGTGTGTGCGTGTGAGCAAATGAGAATAAAAAAGATAGTGAGACTGTTTATATTATGATGCAAAAAAGAAATTTTTAGATCTCTAAGGCTTTAAAACAAACTAAGAGGAGAAAACTTCGATCTCACACACACATATACAGTAAGTATTTACAGACCATTTATAGATAAACAATCCAGTGAGCATGCTTATATGCATCAGTTTGCTAACACCCAAAAAAGGAATAAAACCTGTTGCAGAGTTTTCATGCAAATCAAAAACCACATTCATAAGGCTTTATGTACACTAATAACTCAACATATATGCATCCATGTGTTTCATTGAGCTAAACATTTTCATTATAAAAACTATCCCTTCGACTATATTTTAAAATAACTTAAAAGTTGGAACTTGCAGCAAATCATTCGTTAAATAAATCCATTTATTACATATGTAAACATCTTACTACACACACTGTAAATAATGCAGGGTTCCACACAATTCATTCATGTAGTCCCAACACAAATCAATTAACTTAACACTTACAACAAATGTATATGGATTAAACATATAAATTAAGTTATCCCAATGAAATCTCAAGAATTGTTGTTTCAGCTCATTTTAATTAAGTCGTTTGAACAAGCAAAAACAATTTAGTGCCTGAAGAAAAAAAGCATTACGTCATTTACAAATGCATCTTTAATGCCATATAAATAGGAACAATCTTCAATAATATAATAGGCATATTTAATAGCTACATTTTTGAAAAAGTGAAGATCTAAAACTCCATAATAAGACCAACAACAGCTGAAGATGTTAGTTCACGTATGTTGTTCCCCTTTTAATATTTAAAGTAATTCATGTGAAAGGCCAATTTAAATAATTTCCCAATTGTTCCTGTTGACTTCCCTTAAACAGTTGAGTTCTGTAAAAAAATAAATAAATTCTTCCTGGTGGCCTTTGATCGATCATGTCCGGTTGTCAAACACAACTCAGACACCAAAGTACAACAAGAACACTTTACTATTTGTAGAGGGATTTTGCATTGTCAATAATGGTCCAGTATTGACTTTCTAGCTCTTCAATTACTTCTTATCAGAAATCCAGCAATATTAGAATTTCTCATGTACTTGTCTCGTGTATGTACATGTTTAACCTACAAACCAGACATGACAGCTGTGAAAATGTGTTTTATTGGTACCATACATCAATTGTCAATGGCAGACACTATAGGCAAAAATATATTTGTAAAACAACCACAAACAAATGGGCTCTGAAAACACAGAAAGAGCACACCTTATTTATGGCTGACTTGAAAAATGAACCTAAAACAACACTGTATTTTAGTGACAGATTTGAGGAAAGTGAACTGAAGATCTGTACGCCGCAGAATGGCTCTAGCTCAGGCATGTCCAAACTCGGTCCTGGAGGGCCGGTGTCCTGCATAGTTTAGTTTCAACTTCCTTCAACACGCCTGCCTGGAAGTTTTAGTATACCTAGAAAGAGCTTGATTAGCTGGTTCAGGTGTGTTTAATTGGAGTTATAACTAAAATATGCAAGACACCAGCCCTCCAGGACTGAGTTTGGGCAACCCTGGGCTAGCTAGTTTAGCCACCAACCCTTTTCTATACAAGCCAATATACGCTTAACACCAGAGTGCCACCTGGTGTTCACTGTAACCTTCTAGGTTTGATTATTTTTGCATTATCCAACATTTAATAAGAACTCTTATGGACTGATTCAATGACTTGTATATCATCTTAGGTTAATGAAATAACATAGAAAGTGAAATAATGTACAAAGGCAACATCAAATACACAGCAACATGTATCGTCTTGATATATAATGCAATGGCAAAGACTTTAAAAAAATAAATACATTGTACATTGACTTAAAAACTATAATCTACCTTCTTAGCTGAAAGGTAGTTGTACCTTTAATGCGTCTAGAAACGATTTGAAATGAGACAAAGTTTTACTTTTGACATATGAAGGAGTGAAGGGTCCTAAAGAAGAGTAAATATAATTACACTTATACAGAACTTGGCTACAATCTTAAATATACAATCACAAACACACAAACAAAACGATGAGGAAATGAAACCGTAATCAATGTGCTGATTAAAGGATCTTGCATCTTGGTCTGTAGCATCGAGAAGGGAAAGTAAACAATGGCTGGTGTACTAAAATGACGCCTTAGCAAATTAAACTGCGCAATTGACTGGGTCTACACAAAAGGCGTTGAAGCTTGAGGCCTGTTCTTTTCAATGGATTTTCAAGAAATGAAATGTTGATAGCTACGGTCTCTGGACAAAATGTGCCACCAGACGTCGTGCTAACAGTGCAGGATGTAGATCCTACGAACAATGAGACTCTTACAGCTGCGATAGCTAATGTCTGACACATGCGCTTCCCAGACATACATGCTATGTTCACGTAATCTCATTTTTAAAGACGACAAAACAGAAACTGAAAGACAGAAAGGTGTAAAGCTTGGAGCAAAGTAGCATCTACTTACTTTACAGTAATAATAATAACAGTAACGATACAAAATTTGCTATTTTACACTGAGATTGACAGAGTTTTCCAGTTAAAGATTATCAATTTTTTTGTTGTTTTTAATAAAAACAAAATTCATCATAATCGTTTTTTAAGAAAAATAGATCCAAAATACAGTGACAAGAGTGCAAAGGATATTTAGAGTTTTTGTTTGCTTGCTTATTTCTTTAGAAATAGTTATAAAAAATTAAAAAAAGAACAGGAAACCAATCCAAATGCAAACAATAAAATAAAAAAAACTAACCAAAACCAAAATCAAACACTTCTTCTGAGTCTGGCGTGATGGTCAGGCAAGCTCTCAGCGACCATTGTGGGCATGGCCAAACTCAAGAATCTTTACACTTTTAATTAGATTTACTTAAAGGACTTTACGTAGTGGTTCTCAACTCCGGTCCTCAAGCTCTGGAACTGTACAGGTTTTTGTTCCAACCAGGTCCTACAAAACAAATGATTGAGTTTTTAAAAAATGGAGCGGTTGGGGTTTGAATCTGAGGTGCACACAATAAACGGTGAGATAAAAAAAGTGATCCTTTCCTGTCAAGTGAGCACAACAGAAACGGCCATGCGTGTCAAAGCACAGCACGCACAAGAGAGACCCGAGGTTGGAACAATAACCCACAGCCTGATCGCTAAGCCTGATCGAGACACAGAAACAGACGGTGTTGCAAAATGATTCTCAAAGAAAACAAACCAAAAAAAGAATAATTTACGAAAAAAAAGCGGCACGTCTGATGGTGACTGAGGAGGAGGAGGAGGAGGGCTGATTTCAGCAAATGAGGACTTGTCAAGGCCTGGAATGAACGAGCCTTTTACTAGCCCCTAATACTTCTACTGCGACGACTGAGAGCTGGGGTTGTCATTTTTGCCCTGCTGGCTTGAGGGAGCTTTGCTGTTCCAGGGGCTGTTGGTGCCCATGGTAGGGGAACTGTTGAAACTGTCCTCGTCGTCGATGCCATTGGCCGCATCAAACTGTGTGTTCTCCAGCCGTGTGATGAGCCGCTCATCCTCGTCCCCGAACTCCCCTCCCATCAGAGTGGGCTCTCCCACCACCATCACGTCCTGCAGGGGACAGGAAGGGGCGCAAACATTATCCCCGACACCCGGGGGTCCTCCGAAGGAGGGGACGCGGTGGCTTTCTGTACACCGCATCGCAGGAACTAGACCTGGACTATCCTGGCCACTACAGGAACTCTGTGCTTTGCTGTATGTGACAAGCCTACGTTCACCATGCTGAAAAACTAAATAGCTTTGCCATGGTGGGCATCCCGGATCCTTGAGTGCTGCACGGGTTAATTCCACCTCGGGTCTCTAGTGTTGGCTGCGTCTCTGGAGCTCAAAACACCCAACAGACTGACAAAAAGCACAAAAACCCCACAGACCTGCAGCCCTAAAGGACCAGGGACTGCCCAGCATTGGATCATGTCCACTTGTCGCTATGTTGGGTCTGTCTTCCTAGTATTAATGTAGTATCGTGGTCCACCCTCCA